GTGAGCCTTCAGACGTTGCTCTATCGCCTTCAATAAAAAACAAAGTTCCCAAGGAAATCGTGAATATTTTTCTTCAAATGTTTTAGACAATTTTGCTCGCAATTTGATCCAAAATATCCGCAAGTTTCAAGGAAAAATATGCATAACTTTCCTCTAAAATATATGTTTTTTCCGGAGAAATTCGGCAACTCTCGAATGTTCATACTGCGCGGCGTTCTTTCTTATAAGGCGTCAACGACGACCTGGATGACCCCCTAAAGTAAGATTGGCATAGAACTGCCGAACTCCTCTAAAACCACCCCTCATCCTGAAAAAATTCAAGTTCAAGATCGAGGGGGGTGGTTCTTCGACTTATTAGGCTCATCGGATTAACCTATTTTCGCGGAATTTCTCAATCGAAATCTACCTTTTTGTTTCCACTTTGGATAAAAAGAGGTTTTTCGTTCTTGTTTTTTTTCAATGTGGGTGCATAGGCTTGACACAGAGTGTGAAGCGCAGGCTGGGTGGAAAATCATCGGGCTTCCAAGTTATTCTCATCAATGCCTTAGGCTCCTTCTTCCGCTCTCGGTTTCGTAGTTGGGTGTGCAAGACGCCAACACCAGGATTTTATCGGCTAGTCACAATCCATTTTACGCGTTTTCTATTAGCTCCCGGCTAATGATCAAACGCTGCCAAACCGCTCCATTGATTTTTCAAACCAGTGGCATGGCGTGCTTTGCGATCCATCGATATGTCCCATTTGAAGCTGTGGTAAATAATCGATTATCAAGGTGTTCACTGCAAACACCCTGATTATCGATACTTTTCCATAGGTTTAAATGGCAGATCAATCGATGTACCGCAAAGCTTGCCACACCACTGTTTCAAACATTCCCGTTCGTCGCAAGGCAGTTCGTTCGTCGAAAAGTCACCAAAAATGCTATGCAGTGACCTCGCCATGTTCCGAGAAGGTCGCCGAGCTCACATCTCGAATTTTGGTGGAGAAAACGAACCCACGATTTTAACCATATTTTGCGATTAGGGGCCGTTCGTAAAATAAGTAACGCTCTATGGGGAGGAGGGAAGCTGAGGAGAGCGTTACGCCATTAAGTTTACGTTACAAGGGGAGCCACAAAGGGGCTGGGGGGAGGACGGAGTCGAAAAATCCGGAATTTAGCTTTCCTCGGGCGCCTCGCGACAATTGGATTGCATTTTGCAAAAAGGAACCGAGAGCATTCCAATGTTGCTGGGATTGTGCAACTTGCATTCTTTGCAATAAAATCACAGAAATCATGCACAAAATAAAATTTGCTAAGGTAATTTTTGTCTTGAATCTATAGTTTACTGGGAGTGAAGATCAAACTTGTTTAGATGGTCAGTTCATATTTGCAGGGTAAAAAAATTCGCACAATCGTAGCGACATTGGAATGCTCTTGGTTTCTTTTTGCTAAATAAAATCAGTGGCGTGGCGTGTTTTTCGATATATCGATTGATCTGCCATTTAAACCTATGAAAAGGGATCGATAAACAGGGCGTTCGCAACGAACACCTTAATAATCGATTCTTTACCACAGATGCAAATGTAAAGATATCGATAAATCGCAAAGCACGCTACGCCACAGAATCAAATTCAGTTTAAAGCACAAAACACCTCGTATTTGAATAAAAATTGTCGGTCTTACTTTGCGCTAAAGCTCCATTTAGCAACAGTGAGGAGATAGTTTGTCCAGTCGATTGTTTATTCGCTTTTCGTGTCGTTAATCGTAGACTCGAGTTCCGGCGTTGCATGATTTGATGATTTCGGCCTGTGCTGCCTGTGCTGCCCGCAACTCCGCAACTTCGGCTAGTCATGCCCTCTTCAAGCAATTCTCGTAGCTGCGCACCTTGGACTACTACCGAGGCTTGAACAAGAATAAAACTCACAATCGGTGCTCAAATTATGATTATCAATGATATTCGCGTATTTTCTCATACAAGTTTTCCGAGAATGTTGCTGGACGAACCTTAACAAGTTCAGCGGCGTGGCGTGCTTTGCGATATATCGATTGATCTGCCATTCGAACCTATGGAAAAGGATTGATAAACAGGGCGTTCGCAACGAGCTCCCTAATAATCGATTCTTTACGATAACTTCAAATGGAAAGTTATCGATAGTCGATGATTAACGCCTTACCACTGTGCAAGAGTTGCATTTTGAAAGTAGAGTGAGTTCAAAATTCCCACTGTTAGTACGGCTCCAGCCGTACCGAGATTCTCTCATTTTCTACCTACCAGCGGAACAGACTTTTTCGGCAGCATCCATCACTAACTTTTCACGTCTCTAAGATATTTGAACCGCCCCGCCACTGAACAAGTTCCCTATTTTTCTTAAAATTCTACGTTCACGCATTCGTCCCCCGAAAAATTCCGAATTTATTGAAAAGTCCTACACCCAATTGGTATCACTAAATGATTACCCAATAGCACCAAAAATCAACCAAAAAGTCTGAATTTTTCTCATGTTTCGCACCTGTTCATGTTTCGCGCATGTTTCATGTTTGTCACTCGTGTTCCTTGTTTGCTGTAAAGGTAAACGCGTTTTTTACGTTCGATGGGGCTCTGCAAATTCTGTTTACGCTCTCCGCTGCATGGCAGCGCGACTCCTTCCCGCGTTGTGTCTGCCGTGATGCCGTTTTACACTTCAAAAGAGGGAGCTGTAGTAAAGCTCAAACTTTTCTGACTGAACAAGCTCAAGAAAGTACCCTGTTATAATCTAATCCCTGTTAATATCTTGGAACTTGCGTGTTGAATATTTGGTAGCGATGTTATCCAAAAAATAGGACGTTAACAGGCATGACTCTGATTTTTCCGCATAATGCTTGGCAACACCGTGCGCGCGATAATGACTTGACATAATTTACCCATGAAAGCTTCGAACACAAGCTTGCTTCGCGAAACATACCGTTCTGCGTAGCGTAGGTGACAGAGTGCCTTTATTCGGGAAATAATGTCTCCTACAAAAGACTGCGAAGTAATACGTTAAATGCCCAGGTAACGCAGGACAAAGTTAACACAGTGCTGGAAAATCTTGGGAAAGTTGTAAGGTTCACTCTAAAAATCTTATAGACAAAGGGGGAACTCTCTCTTAAAATGAAAAAGCCAAGAAAGTGAAAAAAAACATCATGCAGTTACTACTTAACGTAAAGGTTGGCTTTTAATAAATTTTTCTGTAACGTAGAACCGCTTAATTTTGGCACTGTGCCGATATTAAACCAAGCTATGCTTCTTTGAATTGTTAAATTTCTTGGGAAATTAAACAATCTTAAGATATAAAATACTCCTCACCACCCCCTTTTCATGACAGCGCGTATAATAATTCGCCGAAAGTGCTTCGAAACCTCGTACAGCGTGCAAATTTTCGCGGCATCATAGCGCATGGCGCTCAATAATTCTCTGTTGCCAGTTGTCTCATTAAATTAACAAATTCCGAGTTTTGTTTCTCGATTTTCAAGTCCTCGAGTCAGTATGACATTCTTTGGATTAGCTTATTTTTAAAATCTAAATCGTCCGACTTTTTAAAAAAAATGGGAGCTCCCAATATGTGAAATATACGAATATACATACTATCCCGTGTGCTTTCGTTTTAGTTTAAAACAAAAAAACGAGAAAGTAAAAACGAGGAAGAGACGAGGATATTGACAAAAGAATCAGAATTTCAATTAAGTAAGGACGTTTGACTATTTGCCTAGGCATGTGAAAAAATGCCTGATTCGACTATTGGCCTGCTATACCCACCCACCAGTGAAGGTAATTCTGTCATTTTCTCAACCCGCCTGACAACACTGCCCATTACCCACCCAATAATTGCTTGACTCGCATGAAATTGTGCTTAATTCTTTTCCAAACCTTGAAGCGGCTTCCTGTTGTCGGCCGCGCGAGCTAAAATCATCCGACTTGTTTTTCCTGGAATCTGCTCGATGAGCATCCATTCGCCGACATATTCGCAAATAGTCAATCTCTTCAGTGACTCCGAGAAAATCCTGATAATTTGGCAACAATGCCGCAATGCAACGTGTGCATCGGAAAAAAGAACGCCCGCTCCTGGATTGATTAATTTACCGCCCGTGCTTCGCGATATATCGATTGATCTACCATTTAAACCTATGAAAAATGATCGATAGACGGGGTGCTCGCATCGAACACCTTTATAATCGATTCTTTGCCGTGGCTTCTAATGAGAATATGTCGATAATCGATCGTTCACGCCTCGTCACTGCTAATGAAGCTGTAATTGAGTGCGGAACCATTTCTGGCGAATGCCGCGAAAACCTGATGCTCCGCAGAATCCCAACTTAGCGGCTTGAATTATGCGGAGTGTATCAATGGCAAAAGTGCAAAAAGTGCTAGTTTTCAAGAAATTATAATGACTAGTTTTCTGAAAAAAAGAAAAAAAATTGAGTACAAATGGAAGTCTGCGACGTCGCAAACGAAGATACTTGGTTTTGGCAACGCTCAGTAAAAAAAAAAAATCATGGATTTTAAAATGAACTTATCGTTAATTAAAATCAGAGTATCTTGAAATCCTTAAGAATCCCTGACAGTTATTTTCGTAAAAATTCAAGTTTTCCCTTAAAATGTAGGAAAGTTATTAAAGTATCATCTTCATGCTTAAAAAATAATACAATACAAAATACAAAACGTATAAATCGAAGCTTCCACTTCTACTTTATCCCCGCTCTGAGGACGTTACGCGGCGTTACAGTCGCTAACAACTCTTGAATACAACTATTCGTGCTCCGGGACCACCCTCATTGCCTATACAAAAAATTGAAGGCGCGCGAGTTTACCTCACTCACCGGATTGTCAGCAAGACATTTCCCATGGATTGCAGCGGGGCGTCCATAGCAGCCTTCATGCTTCTGAACTTTGAGGGCATTTTACACCATTGAATCATCTACACTTTGTTTATTTAAACTTTTATTGATTACAACTTTTATTTATCTCGCGGTGGATTAATGATGTGTTTCGTGTGCGTGTTTCAGATGCAAGGAGGGCAACAGTACGGGTCAAGTTACGGAAACCAAAGAGGTCACGGGCCGATGAGCGGTCCAAATTCCATGGGTCCCATGAACGGGATGAACGGAATGAACGGCATGAACGGCATGAACGGGATGAACGGGATGAATGGGATGAACGGGATGAACGGAATGAACGGGATGGGAATGATGGGGCAAAACTCTAGTCCTCTTCACAGCGGTATGATGAACTCTGGAATGGGTGCTGGCCCAGGCATGAACAAAATGGGCATGCAGGTAACTATGCTGTAATTTCTTCTTCTGTTCGTGTTATTTTCGGCGCTACGAAGCCCTCCTGCGAGCCGATTATTGAAACTGATAGACAAAGAAGACATAGGGAGTATAGAGCGATCCTATTGGTTGACATGTTGGGTTCTTAAAGACTAAGGAAGAAAATGATGGACTAACTGTCGGGTCTTTGATGGGTTGCCGTTAGTTAGTCCATTACCTATCTCCTATGTCCATTGCCACCACCCGCTTCCACTAAGAGGATCCATCCAAATCCCTTTTGTCGTCTTTCTCTATAGCTTTGTCTATCAGTTTCAATAATCGGCCTGCTGGCCACTATGAGGCCCAACCCTAGATAAGCGCATTGTGTCCTTTGCACCGAGAAAAGAACTTCTGTGATAGAGACTGGAGACTCAACTTCGGCTTCTATTGAACCCCGAAGTTTATTGGTTCTAGCTCTCGGTCATAGGAACCAAATTTCGGTTAACAAGCTTGCCCCCCACGACAGAAAACTTCAGTTGCATGAACCAGAAAAATTCGATGTTTAGGTAGTATGTGAAAATGTTTGTGCAGATCCTTTTGCTGCAGTTCCGTGAAAAATCGTCGCCACTGCCGGGATTCAAACCCGGGACCTATTGACCCAGACACCCAGAGTCACACGCGCTGACCACTAAACCAACCTGCGGGTTGATTATTGCAATTGATGGACAAAACTATAGACACCAAAGACAAAGTGAAAATAAAGCTATCCTATTGGTGAAAGCGGGTGGTTGCAATGGACAAAAGGGGCAAGGAATAGACTAGCTAACGACAACCCACGAGAGACTCTGTACTTAGTCTATCATTTCCCCCTTAGTTTATAACAAGCAAGGACCGCTCCGTGTTCCATGTTTTCTTTGTCTATAGCTTTGTCCATCAATTTCGCTGAGCCCTGCCGGCAAAAAAAAAAAAAAAAAAAAAAAAAAAAAAAAAAAAAAAAAAAAAAAATCCAGGTCCCTAGACGTAGAAACACATCGTCTCTCACTTGCTGGTCGATTAGATTAAACGACCAATACTGCCGTGCTAAGGAAAAACGGCGTATGAACATCCGAGAGTTGCCAAATTTCCTTCAATAAAATGTTTATTTTTGAGGAAAGTTATGCATATTTTTCCTTGAAATTTTCAGGAACTTCAGGTGAAATTGCGAACAAAATTATCTGAAAATCAGAACCCAGGGAATTCGTGCTTTACCAAAAGAAACTTGGCAACGCCCCAAGGTTCATACGTCGTTCTTCCTCAGCGCGGCAGACTATAGGGTTGAGTGACGGGCTGGACTGATATTAAATTATACGAGGCGTGATTTCGGTATATGGTGGACGGGATGGAGGAACAGGAATGCGCTGGCGACCATTGAAACGGTAAAGGAGAGACGGAGACCCGACTCCCGGTCCGGGTGCCCCGACTCCTGACTCCCTCCCGTCCTCTTGTTCGCATTCCGTTAGATGTTAAGGAAACAGTTAGCAGTCGTAACTAACCAAACAGCCAACTTGTGCGTGCACTGTTCCAGATCAGTGACCCCTCTCCTCGCCCGCTACGCAGTTAGAGCACCTTCTCGCCAGTGGCGTGGCGTGAATTGCGATGTATCGATTGTTCTGCCATTTAAACCTATGGTAAAGAATCGATTGTTAAGGTGTTCGCTGCGAACACCCTGTTAATCGATCCTTTCCATAGGTTTAAATGGCAGAACAATCGATCTATCGCAAATCACGCCACGCCACTGCTTCTCGCGAAGTCCATCTCCCGCCACCATTGCCCCGCCGATAGAAACACAATACTGCCGTGCTAAGGAAGAACGCCGTATGAACATTCGAGAGTTGCCAAATTTCCCCGAATAAAACGTGTATTTTTGAAGGAAGTCATGCATATTTTTCCTTGAAATTTTCAGACTTTTTAGATGAAATTACGAACAAGATCCTCTTAGAAATTGGAGTAAAAATATTCACAAATTTTCCTGAAGACTCGTGATTTGTCGAAGGAAATTTGGCAACGCCTTAAGGTTCATACGGCGTTCTTCCTTAGCAAGGCAGAACACGTCCTTCTCACTAAAGAACCTAACTTCATTACAATGTTGCCAAATTCCCCCAAATTGCATTTTTCCTTTTTCGCAAATTTCATTTTTACCAGGAAAGTCTTGGGCATTTCTCACTGAAAATTTCACTCATTTTTCTACTCATCACGTGCAAAATCAGAAAAATTTTGCACAAAAATTGCACAGGTATATTCTTGTAGAAAATTGAATTGTTGGAGTCAATTTTGCAATCGAGTTACGTTCCTCCGTCCGGACAACGACGAATGGAGGGGCTTGGAGGACAAGTGGGATAAGTGCAGTTTTTCCTAATTCAAGAAATACGTGTTTAAAGTTTCAAAATTTCATGGAGCCTTTTGGCGAAAAGAAGGTTCGAACTCTCTTTTTCTTGCCTAAAATTCGGATTTTAGTGGTGAATTTCTCGCAGGATATATTTTGAGTATGGTTGCAGTTGAAATCATTATTATCTCAATTTTTTTCAAAAACTGCACTCAACCCACTTGTCATCCTTCTGGGGGGAAGAGTTCCTTCCGTCTGGTACCGGTACTCGTTAGAGCTCAAAATGTTTGACTCCGATTAAAATTTGTGAACTTTTTGGCCTTATTTTCCCCGAAAAAATTGTGGACTTATTGTCAGCACTATTTTACCACCTTCCTAATATTCAGAGGTTCCCTTAAAAATACGTACTTTCTCGAGAGACATTTGGCAACATTCGAATGTTCATAAGGCGTTTTTCCATCGCGTAGTTTTACGTGTCTGTCAATTTATTGATAATTCAACAAATGTTAGATGTAAGTACCTAATAGGTCCTAAGGATAAAGGCGTTCTAAATACAGCCAATGGGTGGATGCAACTTAATTAACTTCGGTGTTGAGTTGGGATGCATCGCCAAATTTGAAGGCGCACAAACAGCGCGAACCATGCCTATAACATATCTCTGCATATCAAGCTTGTCTTGTTTGGTTGCTTACAATTTCGATTGAAGGCGACAAGTTTCGCCTTGGAACTATGACAGATGCAACCGTTCCATGTATATTAATGGTGACAATCGTAAAATCGGCATTTCGATTTACCATCCGACGCAGCGGATTTCTTGTCAGGCATTTCATTTTTTCGACGGGAGACCAACGAAAAAAGAAAAAATATTGTCAGAATCTCCTCCGGGAATATATTCAGGAACGATCTTAATGAAATGGCACACCCATTTTAATTTTTGCTCTCGGTTATTCAATTGATGTTTATTCATTTGACTTTTTTAATTTTCAGAGTTCGGGACCTCCATACCCTAGAAGAATGGCCCCTTATCCCAATCCTGCAGCACATATGAATCAAAAAAGACAGCAAGTAAATTCATATCCAACTCCAGGCCCCAACCCTAACATGCAGAGTGGATTCCCCACGAATGGTGGTCCTCAGGTATGATTAAATATCTTATATCTGTATATAAGTATCCTAACTATCCATCTCCTTTCATCAAGTTGCCTCCATTTTCAGAGAACAATGATCAGTGAAATTTGAATTGATGAGAAACTCCAGAATTTCAAAGTTAATGAGGCTTATGATGTGTCTTTCTCACAATCAGTACAAAATTAGATATTACCCACTCAGAATTTTAATGGCATTTTTTTTTTCAATTACATGTTTTTGAAATGAAATTTTAACAATTTTAATTTCTCAGAATTTTAAGGCAGAGGATGGAGTCATTAAAATCTTGATTTCTGTGGTAAAAGAAGAAAGTAAAGAGTACGTAATAGAGCAGCAGGCTTTTTTCGGCAGGGACCTATCGTCAATAAATTATTGATATTCGAAAAGCAACTAGAATAAATTAGAGGGGATAGATTCTTTGAGCAAAGTAACACTTTATTTTTGTGTGAATTGCAAGATGTGAACTAAATTGAGCATTCTGTTTCTGTTTTCAGTATGGTGGTGGTTATGCTGGAGGTCGACCAGGCTTTCAGGGACAGTATGGCCCTCAACAGGGGTCGTTTGGGGGCTCAACTGTCGGTGGTGTAAGAGGGAGTGGTGGTGCTATGAGGCAAAATGCTCCATCCTATCCCCCAACTGGTAATCAGTCGGGGAACCAATATTTTTCCTCCAATGGTGCAAGTCACTTTTCTCCTCACCACCAAACACCAAACCCCTCTCAGTTCCAACAAAGCTACCAACACAATCCCATTCCCGGTAACCCCACACCTCCCCTTACACCAGCTAGTATGCCTCCTTATATCAGTCCAACGCAGGATGTTAAACCTAACTTCAATGAACTAAATAAGACTCCCATTATTCCAATGTGTAGTAAGTATTTTGCCACAAACGAATTTTTTACTTTTCACATTTGAAGGGCTTGGAGGACAAAGCGCATAAGTGCAGTCTTTGCTGTTTCGAGAAATATGTGTTTAAAGTATCGAAATTACATGGATCCTTTTGGCGGAATGAAAGTTGAAACTGACTTTTTGATGCTTAAAAATTGGAATTTGGGAGCGAATTTATCATACAATTTGCATTAAGACTAGTTTCATCTCAATTTTTTCAAAAACTGCATTTATCCGCCTTGTCCTCTAATGGCCTCTCATTTCTACCCTTTCCAGATTTCGCTCAGTTTGAGGACACCTTATCTCTGGAGTTTTCAGTCACTTATACCTCCAAGATAAAAAAGACAGAAACTTCGGATCACAATTTAATGGTCCTTTTACAATATAGTAGTCCAATAGGCTTGTAGGCACTATGAGTTTCACGCCGACCGCTGCTGAACGCACTGTGTTTGACGCAATGCGTGAAGTATTCACGCAGTCTTGTAGGCGCTATGCGTTTCACGCTGATCGTACTGTGTTTGCCGCAATGCGTGAAGTATTCGTGCAGTCTTGTAGGGGCTAATATGTGTTACATGCCGATCGCCGCGCCGAGGGCATCTCCTTTTCATCTCAAGTCCTCGTCATCGTTTCTCTCTAGGTCGCGCCGTTCCAGGCCAAATTGCGAGTTTCGTTTCTCTCTTAACTCGACTAATTAAAGGTGCTGTCTCTTGCATCACTGAAAGACGACAAAAGTAGAAATTACTATACTCTCAGAAAATTAGAGATTTTGTCGTCTTTTCTCGTTTGTAATTTTTTATTCTAAATTCGAATTTTCTATACCTACATTTAAAAACATTTCAAAATTTGCCGTCCCCTATAGATTTGCCGCCATGGGCCGCGGCCCTTGTGGCCACCCCTTTAATCCGGCTCTGCTCATTTCAAAACAATCTAAAGTGGTGTCAAGGCAAATTTTAACATACTTTGAAAGTTTTAAAAATGGGAATTTGAAATACTTGCATTCACAGAACAATAGACCGTATTTCTTATGTGGTCTCATTTCTTTAAAATTATTTGACTCATTTATTTTTGATAAAAAATTGAAGTCTGATCTTCTCTTTTTTTGTCTGAATTTTTCCAGAAGATGATGAATTAAGATTAACGTTCCCAGTGCGCGATGGAATCATCTTACCTCCCTTTAGATTGGAACACAATTTAGCTGTTTCAAACCATGTCTTCCAGCTCAAACCAACCGTACACCAAACACTTATGTGGAGGTAAGTGTGAATTAATCAAAAGCAAATATTCTCCATTCTTGAATTTTTCATCATCATGAACCAATATTTCTCTGACCTGACCTTAAATAGTAACTGTTTTTCTCTTAGCTATGTCATACTATAATTTAAGTGTGAAGTAAGGTTTGAATTGACGTTACTTAGGTACATTCAAAACTACAAGCAGATTTTATTGAGAACCTATTATAGCACGATTTAAGAGGCTGACTACCTTTAAATTTCAGTGCAATCTTGTATCAATCATCAGGTAGACTTTAATTTCCCTCACATAATTTTGACAAATTTCTTTCATCTCTGTTCACAGGTCGGACTTAGAATTACAGTTAAAGTGCTTCCATCACGAGGATAGGCAAATGAATACGAATTGGCCAGCTAGTGTTCAAGTGTCAGTAAATGCAACTCCTCTTATGATAGATAGAGGAGAAAATAAAACGTCGCACAAACCTCTTTATCTTAAGGAAGTTTGTCAAGCAGGCCGAAACACTATCCAAATAACTGTTTCTGCTTGTTGTTGTGTAAGTATTCCATCATCTTCCTTATTTTTCTGCTAGTATTTAAAGATTTTGGAGTCCCATTTTATAGAATTATATAATTAAATGCGTTGCAAAGCCTCCTAAAAGAATAATAGAGGCTTACCTAGACGATGAAATGAAAGAAATATTTTCCAATTGGCAAAGTATAATTTCCGGAAATTCAAGAAGTTCCTATGTTACAGCATACCTTTACAAGAGGAAAGCCAAAGTTATTTTTTTTATTTTTGAATTTGAATAAATAAAATGCCTGGAAGATATCTGTTTTTCAGTTTTCCACATTTAGTCACTCGAACTGAATCGGGATGTGAAGATCGACTAATTTCATTACCTATTTATCATCATTCATTTCACTTTTCATTATTATTTTTAATGTCCTCAAACCTGCCTACTCAATTTAATCATCTAATCTGTTTGTTTTACAGTCTCATTTATTTGTTCTTCAATTGGTGCATCGGCCTAGTGTAAGAAGTGTCCTACAAGGCCTTTTAAGAAAACGCTTATTAACTGCGGACCACTGTATTGCCAAAATAAAAAGGAATTTTTCAAGTTCAGCATCATCAACGTTGGGTCCGGACAGAGATGGAGTTGAACAAACTGCTTTGAAGGTAAGAATAATCTTATTCTGTAAAAAGTTTGTGTCCTCTTCACATTCAAAATTTGATGAATAGTCACTGAATTTTGTGGTTCCCAATGTATTCATGGAAATCATCATTAGAAGAGATGAGTTCTGGATGACATGTAACTTCTCATTTAAGTACCTTATTAAAGGAATTACTGATTGAATTGAAATTTCAGACACCTAAAAGTTAAGCTGTGTCTCTTTAAACTATCCTCGCAACTTCATGCACTCGAATTTATGCCTTAAAAAGAATATTTGTAAACAGAAGTGCAAGTTAGCTGACCCACACAGAATAATTTTTAGGATCCTTTTTTAATTTTCAGACTTAATTTCTCTTTGTATTTAAGAGTATCTCCTTATTCACTCTTATTATCCATTTTCTACTTTTGCAGGTGTCTTTGAAGTGTCCTATTACATTTAAACGAATAACTTTACCCGCCCGTGGCCATGACTGTAAGCACATACAGTGCTTCGATCTAGAATCTTACCTTCAACTAAATTGTGAGCGAGGTTCTTGGCGTTGTCCTGTTTGCAAGTAAGTTTAAAATATCTGTTTTCTTTCTTTTTTTCTTTTTTTTCATAATATTTGATGATTTAATTTTTCGGGTATAATTGGTTTAATGCTATACTATTAACTTTGCACTCACTAAATTTGTGAAAAATGATGACAAATGACCATAAATAAAGTTCATTGATAATAAAATAATTAAATTAATAGTTCAGTTAAACTTTACTACATATCAAGATGCAGAGGTATGTTTTAATATGAAGGAAATGGTTTACTTAAGAGGGGTTTAGACGGAAATAGCCTTCCCTGAAAAACTGATGCATGAAATTGTTATGATCATTCTCAGCTGTGAGTGAGTTTGCCTAATAGTATCTTAAGACTTCCTTTAAAAACTTGGTAAAGATAACTTGAAAGGCTCACAAATTATTCGTTGAGGTACTCAATTTACTCTGTGTGTTTTTTTACATTTTACTAATGTGCGTCTTGTTTTTCCTCAGTAAACCTGCCCAGTTAGAAGGATTAGAGGTAGATCAGTACATGTGGGCAATCCTCAATACTCCTAGTCCTTCAGAAGTGGAAGAAGTTACTATAGATTCATCAGCCAATTGGAAACCGGCGAGAAATACACATATTAAGGTACGTATTGTCTCTATAGACTCATGTGAAAGAACATAATTTACAATGTGGAACTTTTTAAGTAAAGAAGGTGTGATCTACACAAAAAAGGAGCAACTTTCAAAATATCTTTTGATAATGATCATCTAAGAAAGGGGCACATCATCGGATTTAACTTGACATTACAGAAATCCTTTAAAAGCATATTTCTTATCTTCTATCCCAGTGCCTGATTTTATTGATGCAACGCAGTGTTTCTAAGTCCAATCTATTTCATGATCATTGATCATAGTCATTAAAATTCATCGATTCCATTGAACATAAAGTTCATTCACAGAACCACCCCTGAGCAAAAAGAGCACCTGACAGAATAGGCTGAATCACTCTTCCCTTTCATCTGTTTTTATCTTGATTAAGATTAGTAAAGATATCAGCTTCTTTTTTTTTGAAACTCATGTCTCCTCTTGATAGTTTCTTATTTCTCAGTTTTTTGTTTGTTTCGTTTCTTTTTTCTACCATCCTTCTATTCAAAGCACAATTCTAAAGTGAAATTCTCCATTTTACAATACACAGGAAGAATGTATTTCCATTTTACAGGAAGAAGAGACTGACTCATGTGGTGCCAAACGAGGGAACAAAGCAATGTCTCCTGGAAGTATGACCTTACCAACAATGCATTCTTGGGATATGGGACAGTCACTTTCACCCTATATTCCTCCAGATATGAACAGTAAGTTCTAAAAATTTTAATCAAATAAGAGTGGCATTAGCAGATATTTCAATTAGGTATTTCAGAAGTAACGTATCTTACGTTTAAAAATTTCAGCTTATTGCGGCAAGTTGAAAAGAAACTTTTTTATCCCCCTATATTAATCACTTTGAATTTCTCAGTTGTCATGACCGGAATTAATGACTTACCTACTTATGTTCTATTAGTTTCTAAAAAAAGTTTACTATTTTCAAAATATGATGATTTTGATATCGAATTTTATTCCTTTTGGTTTTAATTTTTTTATTTTTTCTGCACTCAATTCCCATTAGTATATTAAGTTGGGAGTTTATGCACCAGATTTTTCAATTTCTCTTATTAATATAATTATAAATTATAAATGTATCCTTTAAACTGTTGAGGTTTGTGCTCTAAGTAAAACACTTCTTTAATTCATTCAGGTATTGCTAGTGGATCAATGATGAACTCTGGACCTCCTCCCTATTCAAGTGGGCCCACCGGCAGAAGTAGTTACGATTATAATTCCAGTACGACCAATAATGATTTTTCATCTGGTCCTCTCAACCATTTAAGTGATTCAGTCAATTCTCTCGAACCTTTGAATGCCATGGAAAAATCTCTGAATGATCAGGTTGGTATCAATGTTTCTTTCTTTGCAGGATTTCTACCCTTTTGAGACTTGAGACATAAAGTGTCTGAGCCCCTCAACTCTAAGTTGAACTCTTTAAAAAAAGAAAGAGGGTGCTGAAGTTGAATTTGTCTTTTTCCTTATTCTAATTAAAAATTCAAGCAGAATTTTAAAGCAAACAAGAAAAAGAAAATCAGTAAAAATCTAAAACTGCTCCAGAGAGAAAAATATTACATTGATAAAGACCAAGGCCTCAATTTCTTCACAGTTAATTTTAATTTCAGGAGAACTTCAGATTTCCCTCAATTGTGCCCCGCCTTAAACCCGCTCACTTCAGATTTATTTAGTAGAGAACATTTTTTTGAAACTTTCACTTTTTTTTTTAGATGCCTCACACACCGCACACTCCTCACACGCCTCACACACCTCACACTCCTGGTGGAACGCCAGGAAGTGCACATACGCCTGGACCCCCGAGCGTACCACCAACAACAACAACAGCAGCAACTACATGTACAAATGGCGAACAAAACTCGATAGACACAGGACCTGTAGATATTCCATCAGATCTGAACTTTGATCCAGCCGCTGTTATTGATGGTGAAGGACAAGGCCAAGAGACATTAAATGTAAGTATTTATCTCAGCTGTACAGAGAAAACTAGTTCTAGTAGCAGTAATGTAAATATTTATAAAAAAAAGTGTCAAGAAATACATGCTTTTAAAAAAAACCTTCGATTACACTCAGTTGAGAACTATCTTTTGGGATTTTTATACAAACAGTTTGAGTAAATTTTGTTGAGGCTTTTTTAAATTTTTATGAAGTTTTCTTAAGTAAATTTGTTATAAGTTGTTTAATTTATGCCATTTCCTTTGCTTTCATTATTTTCTAACATCAATTATTTTAGGATATCTTCAGTGCGGTTTTCGATTGACTCTTTTAGACTAGTTGATTGCTACGTAGGGACTTCAGCTCATTTGGAATAAGTTAAAATAAATACACCTGATGTCCACGATCTCTTGGTGCTCTTATCCTATGATTTCATCATTTCATCAATCTTATCAGTTTATGAAGAATCACTATGCCTCTTGATAATATCTTAACACACTCAACGCTCACTATTAAGCTTGCAAATTTCTTAAAGAACCCTGTGTCTCTTTCTGTTCCAGCTGTTACCTGACAGTGTAGTAGATCCAATGGAACTACTTTCCTACTTAGACCCTCCTGATCTCGCAACACCTCCAAGCAGTGGTGCAAGCAGTAATGGTAACTTGGGAACTCCTAACGCAGTTGCTACGAGTGATGACATTCTAGCATTATTCGAGTGTTAAACCAGCAGAGGCTGGACTTTTCAGTCAATTCTCTTACAAGGTTCCTTGGGACCAACGCTGTGTTTGACAAGAGCCAAGTTCCTTGTTCAAGCCGGTCAGTGTGAAAGGTTTTTTGCCGATAGGTTGTGATGAAATTTTATTTATTAGATTCCATTGAGACTAGGAGATGCATTTACCCTTTTGGGAGGCAGCTTAGTTGTGCTGTAAGGTCACTTCAAATTACTGAGTGGCAGAAAACATGTATTGATAGCAGGCAAAGTTCCAATAACTAGAATAGAGTACTAATCACTGTGATTAATGATTTTTTAACTCTATCAAAATGTTACTTGACTTATTGAAACATTTAATAGAATTGTTTTCCTTCGTCAAAACTTTTTATTGTTCTTGCATCCATACTTTGGATCTTATGAAAAAGTGATCTCAAATTAATCGAGCTGATTGAAATATTTTGTACTGGATTAAAATAGAAGAAAGAATTACAATGCAGGTAATGTTCTAGGCCTAAACAAAAGAAGAATACAAAAAAAGAAACTACTAAATAATACTGCCTATCAAATTCTCTTGAATCTCTAGCATTGGCAACTTCAATGAATCAATCAAGGATAAATTAACATTATTTAAACTTGCTTTGATAAATAGTACCAAAAATTAAGAGCAGAATGGCTGTTTGAAGAGATGGTAAAGTCGTCCAACAGTTTTCAAAAAAAAATTAAAATTTCTTTTAAGTGGTAAATCATTGAGTGAAATAAAAATTTCAGCACTCCAGCCACAACATACTGTCCAAAGTACTTAGATTAATTTTAAATACTCTGTTACTCAGTATCAACGAACCCTAGAGCAATCGTGAAAACTCTACACTGTTTTCGTTGTCCATTTCCTTTTATGAAGGCCTCGGTATGGTGCTTTGCCTGTTAAGTACACTGAATAAAACTGTAAACTTGTGTTTCTACTTAGGTCTATAATTTTTTGAATTGATTGTACAGGACGCCACCATGTCAGAGACTTAAATCACCTGTTCCATTTTTTCCTATGAGAATTTATGAATAGCATGTTTTGTGTTTCTATACTTTTTTTTGTAAATACCCCTCCTTTTCTTTCTTCTTGCGAACTGTTTCTTTGAAAATTTGTGAATATCCTTTTGAGTCATAGTAATTCTAAATTAAATTCAGTGAGATATCAGAGACAAAATGCATTGTTAAATTCTTGTACATTATTGCTGTAAAGTTCAAAATTTTTATAATGGTTATTCACAAATCATGTACAAATTCTAAAACACAGATCTAGTAATCAAGCTTGTGAGTTTCTGAAAACTATGTTTTTGTGTAAATTGTTTTAGAAAATATCGTAACTGTACATACTGAATGCACAGAAAAAAAAAAGAAGAAAAATGGGCCCCTAGACGAGGCACGAATTAAAGTACCACGGGACATGTTTTCTTTTCAAAATCTTGCTTAGAAAACGACTCACACAATGGAAAGTCTGGAAATCAACTCCTGAACAAGATAAAAAGTTTATAGTATCAACAATCAACATTAATTATGCGGCAAATAGACTAGTGAAATCATTTTTAGAGTCTAACTTCAGTTTGATCTGTGTTCAAAATACTTGTTGATATCTTATTCAGGTGCTGATGTCCGTATTCTCTGTTGTGTCAATCGTTTTCTACGTAAGATTTCGGAGAGAAAACATGTCACCTTTTTTTTTATTTTAGGCCTCGTCTGGTGTCCCATTGAAAATAGGAAAAAGTAATATAAAATCAATTTAACTTTACTTTATTAAAATAAAATTACTTTTTATCGATTCTAGTTGTACTTGCTTGTGTAGTCCTGTAATCTTAGTTTTGGGCATTCTGTTTTGTATAAAGCAGTATTATTCGTAAATCAAAAGTTTCAGAATGATTATTCATAATAATTATAAATCAAGTACATAACTATTGCAGTAAGTTGTATGTATGATTAATATTTTTGTTGAATTGTGATATTTTCATGTTTTAAAATTAGCGGAAGTTTCCTAACTTTAAACTTAATAGAAATGTTTTATTTATGTTTTATAATTATTATTTGATTTTTTCTCTCTCTTTTTTTTTCTTTTTTTTCATCTTTGAGGGGGGCAAGTACTTTCCCAACATCATATTTTGAACACTCAAATTCCTATGAACACATGTACTTATACACTCACTTCCATACCAAAAGCAAACTTTCTTAGTCATCAACCGTCAATTGTAAGTTCTGATTCTTAAAAGAACCTCATGCAAAATAAACCACTTTTAAGATGATTTGAAATAATTAAATATTTTAAGTTGGATCTGTGGCGGGAGTGAGCTAATATCAAGATAGCAATCAAATGCTAAGATACTGGTTTTGTTTTAAAATGGTGCCAAAAATCGGATCGTTGCGCTTGCAGGCACATTCCAGCTATATTTAACCGAAAAATCCATCCTGTAAACCCTAAAAGAATGCTGTAAGTATTAAAAGAAAAAATGAACCGATGGATTTGACCAATCGATGTGCAAAATTTTGCATTTGTTCACTTGCAGTTTTATTTTATTTTCAGGGTTTACAAATAAATGAGCTTGGTTCTTTGGAACGAAACAGCTGAAATGTGCCTCTTGGCTCAATTGCTGTTTTTTGCCAAAATTTGAAGTGGTACGAGTGATTAAGCAAAATTTGTTTGATACCTTGATTTAGTTCACTTCCAATGTTGATTAACCTTAACATTTGATAAGAAGTTACCAACACTGTCAAAATTTCCAACATCTTTGAAATTTGATCATGGCAGAATGATAAATCTTCACAATGAATAGTGTCATATTCATACACCTCCATTTTCCTGATAAATTTTAGTAAAGGAATGCTGGTGTCAAAATTTAGATGAAGCTTTTACTACCACTAATTTGGATCTTTTGAGTTGATCAAATTTAAAATTTTAACACCTTCTCAAGAATGTCTCAATGTCTAAGGTTGAAAAGAATGAAATTTTAAAAATTCTGATGACCAGTAAACCCTCATGAGATGGAAGAGATCAATGTATAACCGAAGCAATATACCCACTATCTGATTTATTTTCTGAATTTTTACATGACGATCATCTTTGTAAGAAACTGATCAGAAGACTGATCAATTTGAGGACTTTTGACATGGAATCTTGAAACAACCTTCTTCCCTTGGACCTAATTTTCAAGACTTTCCAAGCAATGAATCTTCATTTAGTTCAAACCAAAAGTGACCGATTTTGAATGTGGTTCTTTAGAAATAATGGTGAGGAGAATATGGACGTTCATGGACAATCTGCATCACTTCATAGGCGAATCATTTAAGTTATTCCAGTTTCCTCTGTGCAACAATAATAATATCAACTGAAGTCTGCCAGTATCAAGAGGATCTATGCGTCTTTCAATGACCAACAAAGTGAGAGGCACAACAAACTGAATTGTGTCCACAAGCTTTTGTCCTTTGATACTGGTGTATTTAGATTGGGACTGAATATTCGTTAATCAGAGGGAAATCGCATCACTTAATATAGAATTTTTACCTTGAACGTCCATCATTAATCCACCAGGCGTGTGTTGTTATTGTAGATTGTGAGGATCTTATATTTTGAAACAAAATTCCGAAAAACTTGATTGGCGGTTTCCATTCTAAATCACCCTGATATTCTTGTTCCGAGTTTTCAAAAAATTGTTTCTTTCATGTTTGTTTCCCTTTATTAGAGGAAATAGAACCATACCTAAGAGATTACCAATTTCGCCCAATACTATGCAACTGTTCCTAATTTTAATGACAAATTGACATTTGTATCCTTACTTCACTCCACGATCATGGAAAAAAATAACATTATTGGCTATTGAAGCCTTTAAAGTAAATAGACTTTAGTTAGCTGCAGTGAGAAGAATGATCATCGGCCAAGAACTCAAAGTATCGTAATTTTGTCAAAATAATCAGCCAGAACAATCTACAGTAATGCCCTGATTGTCCCATAGATCATCTAACCGAACTTTGGATGCTTCAGTCATCCAACATGGTCAAAATTGAGTTCATGGTCATCAACTAGATAGCCACCACAACGAAAAATATCACTTCGGCAAGAGTTGAATAAATACGTGGTTTTGTGTTTTTTTCCAATTCAGGGACTGTGCACTTCAAGCACGATGGGAAATTGGCAAACTTTTGGGAACAAACAAGGCCTGAAATGGCATTTTTTCAGCCTTTGACAGGTGGTGACTTTTCCGATATCAGACGCCAAAAATCGTTTGATAATCAGGACATTACTGTATTTTGTACGAAATGACTTTAAAACATCACCTCTTATTGTAAATACCAGTTTTCCAGTTCCCCATTGAGGCCCACTTCATGAACCAATCAATTTTTGAGGGCATTCGAGATTCGACAAAATTTTTCCTTTCACCAGTTCGACTCCAAATCTTATGAAGCAAAGGTGAAAATACACAAGTATGAAGTTCAGTCAGCTTTCTGAGACTATCCACCCTTTTATATTGTATGCCATGATATTAGATGACCATGGTACAGAGAATTTTGAAAAATCAAAGTGACATTCCATGTATCTTGCCAAAACCCTGATTTTAAAATAGGGCACACAAGGTGCCTGTTTATATTTGCCCAATTATTTCAGTCATCTCACAGTTCGGTTTTTCTCTATACTTCATCCACTGTAACTTATTAATAGGACAGATTTCAACAGAGTCCAATTTCAATTCAGAGAAATTCAAAAATACTATGAAAAAATTAAAGCTCCAACTTTTTTGGTTAGATTTCCAGTGTCTATAGAAGGTACTTAATATAAGAGAATTCATTCCGATGACTCTTGTGATCAGGATAATTTTGTAAACTAGATTCTTTGTACTTAATAAGGTCTTTATATGGGAGAAAATATCTCCCAGAAAGAAACAATTCTAGATGCTAAAATACAGTATTCCTCCTCTTTTATAAAATAATCGTTTTAGTACCACTGGGACCATTTTCAGTTCATAAAGGTTAAATATATAGGTAGATGATTTTAAGTTCGTCCTATTCCATAAAATGATTACTTATACACAAAATTGTTTTCAAAATGCAAAGGCTCGATATTTTCCTTCTAAAAGATGAATAAGAACTAATATTATGTGGAATAATATTGCACCCTCTCATACATTTATCAACTGTTGAGATTGGAGTACCAAAATTATGTTTCAAGAATAAGAGATTGCGTGTTCCAGCTACTTTTTGTTGGTATAAAAAACAGCTGTACCAGCCCAATCTTGAAGTTAAACAAACAACTTAGGCCTAGCCTGAAATAGGGTGGTAATTCAACAAACGTTTCAAGGCCATTCAAGGAACTTACACTTCTATTATCACCATTAGATTATCTTTAAGAAGACATAAGATGAAATTTCAGTAAAACACAAACAAACAAACATAATGAAATAATTTGCTGATGTACGTATTGACACAGCTAGAATAAGTCTGTGGTCAGAATTTTTTAAAGTATTGTTCACATGTTGGTTAATTTTTTCTTCTTCAGCGTAGAAGTGAGCCTTCCTCTGCATGTTCGGAGAAACGTTCTTGATTGACCTCCAGAAAAGTTATGAGTTAAAATACTATGCGACATGTTTTCACAAGGAAAGTGAATCACACAATGGGAAGTCAACTCCTTAACAAGATACAAGTGTTTACAATTAACATTAGTTACATGGCAAAAAAACAAATTATGTCTTCTGTATAATTCAGTTTCTACTTGCTCCGTTTTAAAAATACTTGTTTTAATAACTTGTTCAGGAATTAATTACCCAACTTCCAAATGTGTGAATCGTTTTCTAAGTAAGATTTTAAAGAGAAAACATGTTAGGATTTTTTCTAGCTAAGACTTTATCCGGTGACACATTAATGCCCTAATCCTACGCTAAGTTGTTTTTCTCTTTTCAACTTAAAGCTGTGTAGCAAGTTCGTTTCTTGCCCGAGATCTCATATAAAGTGACACCAACAAACAATTTCTCTCCTATAATAGACTCCACCTATTTTGGGCAAAATGCTGAATGCCTATGTACTGTATGCATGTAAAATCGTAAGTTTTTCGCAATTTATTTCTCATCGTTATGATTTGAATTGCATTTTGCAAAAAAGAACCAAGAGCATTCCAATGTCGCTTAGATTGTGCAAATTGTTTTACCTTGCAAATATAAACTGATCATCTAAACAAGTTTTATCTTTACTCTTGATAAATTACTAATTCAAGACGAAAAATACACTTGTAAAATTAATTTTTTGCACGGTTTCAGTATTTTATTGCAAAGAATGTAAGTTGCACAATCCTAGCAACATTGGAATGCTCTTGGTTCCTTTTTGCAAAATGCAATCCATTTATTCCCCTCCCAAAGCTATATGTCTGTTGAAATAATTGTAGGACAAATTTTCAAACCTTTACTATACGAGCAATAGATTTTGATTCATATTATCTATTTTTACTTTGATTTTATGTTAATTTAAGATTTTAAATAATTCATTGGTTTTTGTTCTTTTCTCTTCTTTTTTTCACTCAGATCAATTAAAATGTATTTTGCTCTAAAATCGAAAAATCTTTATAACTTAATACTTAATAACCAACTTGTGTACCACATGGACCAATTCTCTCTCTTTCCATTAAAACGAAAGAAACAAAACCTAGTGATTTTTGATGACATGTCAATTCTGTTGAACAGATGAATCAACTGATTGTTTAGAAGGATGTTTCTTGGTTTCCCCAAAAAATACGTTTATTTCTGAGTTAATGTTTCATTTTTTTTCCATTCTGAGAGTATGATGAGACAAAACAGGGCTTTGGCAGATTCTAATGTGCTAAAAAAACCAATGGATTCTTTTCCATCATTTCTCACCATTACCGGTTTAAAAGTCTCCTATGCCTGTAGTTAGCATTGTTCTCTCACATCTAGATTAACCTGTTTTCTACTATTTTGACATTTTCAAAATGTATCAATGAAGTAACTTCCAGTAAACTTTTGGCCAGTGCGAACAGCCAGTTGACAGAATTTCAAAAAAATGATTGTAAACAAAACGTTTTCCATTCCCCTGATGTAGAAGGTGTTTAAGAAAACTCCGACAATATGTATGCAAGTAAAGATTCTTAAAGGGATAAATTTTTGAAAAGAAAAGTAGTCAATACGATTGTCTAATTTTTTAGGTAAAATTCAGCATCACTGGTGGCCTCACCACTCTTACATGCAGACAAAGTGAAAAAGACTTGTTTAATAAAATATTAACATCCAGTGAGTTTCGTTTTGATCAGGTACTTGTGAGCATCCTTCAAGTTAAGTTGTATGATATTTGTAACATCCAGTGACTCTAATTCTTAGTAAAAACCTTTATCTTCTTCTCTTCTCTCCTGTTTTACTGAAAGAGTATAAGATGTAATCCCAAAGATTGAATATTTAAATTTTATATGTTTGAAATTCAATTGATTTCAGTTCTGTGATAATTAAGTAGGTTTTGCAATCAGTTATTCAACAACATAGGGAAGTCTCAATAAAGTATTAATACTAATGTAATGACGATCCAGAGCACATTTTTTTTTTCAATTAGACCTTTTTATTCCCCAGGGTGACATGAGAAACATGTATATTTCATAACAAGGATGAAGTGTGTAAGTTTTTGGTTTGTTTGTTTTTATTGTTTTATTTATTTTTTTAATTTATTTATTTATTTTTTTATCATTATTTACAACTATATGAATAGAAAGTTAAAAAAAATAAAATCAAATTTTAATTTTCACTTTAAAACTTTGTTGTTTTTTGCCAAATAAAAAAAAAACCCCTCCTATTACGTATTTACTTGTTATCTTCAGCATGAAAAAATAAAGTTAAACCCTGAGGATTTAGAGTCATGTTCTTAATCCTGCAATCCTTTTACACCAAGCTGAAGGTGACTTTCGCCTGAGACCATCAAACCCAGATCACCTGCCTTGAATTTGAATGCATGACCCCATCATTGGGCCAGGGCAACCACCACTACACCACATGAGGCAAATACCAGAGCAGACAGAGCTATTAGAGCTTGAAGCAATACTGGAGTAATCCCTGTTACATAGGAATTTTATGTATCAGCCAACTTATCAATTTTGACTGAAAAGACAGTAAAATTCGTGGTACGGAAAATTATTGAAAAATTACTTAAAGGAGTTACTTACAGAATAACTTTTTATTGATAAGCTTCCTTAACCTAAAAACAGTTTTCTACATCATTATGATAAGCTCCAGTAATTGAGTAGCTGTTCTCCTCTCGGTAAAGACAAACCAGTGGGTCTCTCAAAAGTAGTAGAATAGTGACCTTTTCGTTTCACTTCTTTGTCAAACATCTAGAAAGAGGGAGAAAAATTTTAAAGCATGAATTCAATTTTCATAAAAGGATACAATAAGAGATAGAGAGATAAGAAATTAGCCATTCTCTTTACTGGTTAGTTTTGAAATCTTTACTCAGACAAGTTTAAAAGGGGCCATTCATTGCCCATGGCCACACTTTGGTTGAATTAGAGTGCAGGAGATGTCAGGATAATGAGGAGAAAATTGAGGAATGATTCTAAAGATCAAAATAAGACCTTTTTTGTTGTTTGAAGATGGGTCTAAAAATCTAATTGAGACTTCTAGAACTATCCCAATTTTTCTTACACAATATTTTCTTACTGAAGAAACAATTATCCTGGTTAAAAAGTGAAAACCTACTAATTTTCGGGAAGGCTGTTTTACCTTCCTTTCTCTGACTTTTCAGATCAGGTTGTTTTTCACAAGAGCATTCCAATGTCGCTAACCTTGCAAACATAAACGATCATCTAAACTAGTTTCACCTCTACTCCCAATAAACTATGAATTCAAGACGAAAATTACCGTCGCAAAGTTTACTTTTTGCAAAGAATGTACCTAATTTGCACAATCCCAGCAACATTGAAATGCTCTTAGTTCCTTTTCGCAAAATACGAGCCAATTGGTTGTTGCTGCAAAAAAATAGTTTCCCACAACCTGCTATACAATGCTCCAGCACTAGCTTGGCCCGAGCACTAACTTTTCGGGAAGAAAGCCTTTCCCCTACCTGGTTTCTCACTCAATATCCGCCCGAGTTTCGCATATCTTCCGTTTCTCCTCATCGCAGCTTCCATCAAACCGCAATTGCCCGGAAACTAGGACCGCACATCTTATCTTATAAAATTGTTAGCCCTTTAGACCGATTCTGGGGGGTTAGGCTAGACTAGTCGATGAGTCAACTGTTGATCTAATTTCATTACGTGAACGTAGAAGAAAAACGGGGTAAAAAATCACTAATGTGTGATCAATTTTTAAGGACAATTCTGTAATTTCTCCTACGATTTTAAATAGATTAAAACGCGTAATATCGAATATCTAAGCTCAGATTTGGATTCCTCGTGAAAAACTGATGCGATTTCATGCATCAAATTTTAGAATAGCGTGAAGGAAAGAGGTTTAATGACGTAAAAAAACACTAATGTGTGATCAATTTTCAAGGACAATTCTGTAATTTCTCCTACGATTTTAAATGGATTAAAACGCGTAATATCGAAAATCTAAGCTTAGATTCGGATTCCTCGTAAAAAATTGATGAGATTTTAAGCATCATATGATAGAATAGCGTGAAGGAAAGAGGTTTAATGACGTAAAAAAACACTAATGTGTGATCAATTTTCAAGGACAATTCTGTAAATTCTCTTACGATTTTAAATAGAATAAAACGCGTAATATCAAAAATCTAAGCTCAGATTCGGATTCCTCGTGAAAAATTGATGCGATTTCATGTATCATATGTTAAAATAGCGTGAAGGAAAAAGGTTTAACGACGCGCATAGATTCTCCTTTTGAACTACGCCGCACGGTGGATCGAGTCAATGGGAGGGGTCGGTCATCGCGCATCACGCGTCTTATTTTCTCTGATTACGGAGATTTCCCACCCTTAGAATAGAGCAAATTACACTCATCTAATGTATTTTTCGTCGTAGATTCTATTTTGGATCATTTTTCAGCCGAATAACGAGTTTTAATACGAGTTTGACACACTTTTTCATGACTATTGAAATTGGGATCCTTGATAGCTGTTTTTTCACGTTACTTTCGGCGAATGGGACCGTAAGCATCTTACATAAAGAATAATTTTGCAGAACTTGACTCAAGAACATTACTTGAGGAGTGAGGGAGGGCGGCTTTACAGCCCCCTCACCACGAAGGTTGCCATATTTCTTTCAATTTCTGCTAACATCGTTTTTTGTTCATGTTAATTGGTTTCTCGCAATTGCATACTGACACATATACGGAACATTCTGATAATGTTCATTTTTCTTCTCTTTTCCTCCAGCCAGTCAATAGACGTTTTCATTTTTATCAACTCTCTACTCTTTCAGTTATTCAACAAATATTGATATTTCAAAAAATAGATCAATATATTAAAGAAATAAAAAAGAGATGTATATACTGTAGTTTCTTTTTATCGAGTCATCCTAGAATATTATTATACGTACTTATCACCACATAAAAAAAATTGAATGTGCAGGGAAAAAAAAATTATATCATCTTCCATTATTTCGTTTTGTTCCTCGATGTTTGGAGTGAAGTTTGAAACATATTTATTGAATAAGTATTAAAATCGGAGGAAAATTATTTTTCAGATCCCTTGAAGAACCTCTGAGAAGGACTATTGTCTCTTGAAGAAATTTCTTGTATTTCTTCTTTTTCAACCCACAACCAATTTTTACTTTCTCGCTATCCTAGGGTAGAGAAAGTATTGTCATCCTCCAAGGGGGGAAAAAAAGTTGAAATTTTATTTGTATGGAGCTCATGAAAGAGTTCTAGGTATATGTTGCAGACATTTTGCAAGAAACGGGACGTGTGAAATATACAATGCGCAAAACATACACCTTAAACTTTATCGCACAGTATAACGCTGATCGAATCAGCTTCAAAGACTAACCAGAGGGTTAATGTATCGTCCAAAAATATCAACAAGTAAGCCAAAATCAGTAATCAGTAGAAAAATTATCGAGATTGAAGGATATCGTGTGATGCACGATTTTATTGATGACAATAGAGCAAGATCGGATTCCCAGCAAGCGCGACTTCCTATCATTCAAATGGACCGTTTTCGCAGATTAGCGGGTATTAGCGGCTAATTATTACATAATATCATTCCTGATAGTGTACAGGAGGCAACCCAACAAAGGATTTTGCGGACACTTGTGGACATTTTTTTATCGAGCTATTTTAACATTTTTTTGGGCGTTTTTTTAAAGCAAGCTTTGGAGGTGGTTTTGGTCCTCCTAAAAATATGCCAATGCACATTAATGATATACCAAAATGTTCCTTAAAGGGAGGAGAATAAGCATTTTTAATTGAAATTTTGATTTATCTGCCACAGAACTCATGCAAAAGCGAAATAAAACCTTGAGAATTAGACGGCAAATTTGATACCACCTGCAATGTCAGCTTTAGGCAACCCGCATGTCAAAGCGGAAGGGTTCAAAGATCCTAGAACCGTGGATACATTCATTTTGGAAGCTTAACTACTAGAAAACCAAGAAAAAATATTTAAAATCAGACTTTTTTTTGTCGCCCATGACCGACCTCTACCATTGACTCGATCCACCGTGCGCCGCGCCGGTCGCCCGAGACGCAACGGAACGGGCAACGGGGTGGCGCTTAGTGTTCGGTTTCGTCCCGAGGAATTCCTCACGATAAATTCTTATTCTTCCTCCTCCGCTGACCCACTGAGCACTACCCATGTTGCCACGTTGGATTCATATGCTCGAATCAGTAGGTATGTCTACGTTACGTCTCTTTCCTTCACGCTATGCTCATTGCTCGGGTATGATACATGAAATTGTATCAATTTTTAACGAGGAATCTGAATCTGAACTTCGATTTTGGGTATCACGCGTTTTAAGACAAATTTTCCAAATTCGAAAATCCGAAATGACTGAAGTGGCTTAAAATGCCATCTCGGCTCCTGTTCGATGGATTCTCCTGAAATTCGGTGTCAGGGTATGATACATGAAATTGCATCGATTTTTTACGGGGAATCCGAATCTGAGCTTCGATTTTGGGGATCACGCGTTTTAAATCAAAATCTGTCAAAATTCAAAAAATTCAAAACACGAAAATCCGAAATGGCTTAAAATGCTATCTCGGCCCCTGTTCGATGGATTTTTCTGAAATTCGTTGTCAGGAGGTATTTTTCGACGGGAAACTCGAATTTTTAGTTGATTTTTGAAAATTCTCAAATCCAAGATGGCGGACGTGGGCTAAAATGCTATCTCGGTTTCTGTTTGTTCGAGTCTTGTGAAACGCGGTATCACACGGTATTTTTCAACGGAAAACTCGAATTTTTAGGCAATTTCTTAAAATTCTCAACTCCAAAACGTTGGATGTGGCCTAAAATGAGCCCCGGTTCTGGCCTCCGTTTCTGTTCGTCATAGCTTTGTGAACCGCGGGATCAGGGGTACTTTTTGACGGGAAACTCGAATTTTTAATCGATTTTTGAAAATTCTCAAATCCAAGATGGCGGACGTGGCCTAAAACGCTATGTCGGCTCCTGTTCGATGGATTTTTTTGAAACTCGGTGTCTGAGGGTATTTTTCGACCGGAAACTCGAATTTTTACTATGTTTAAAAATTCTCAAATCCAAGATGGCGGACGTTGTCTAAAATGCTTTGGCGGTTCCTGTTCGATGGATTTATGGCGCCCCCTTACTACATGCCTACTCTTGTATTTCTGTACAGCCGCAAATTTAGGGTCAAGGGGCGCCTGACCGTCTATGGACCAGGTGGAGTTTTTGTCCTGAAAATTTACCTTTAGAGAGCAATTCTCTTTATATTTTGTCTATGGTTTTTATGCCCCCCCCCTTTCTCGCGGACGCTCTTTTCACTTTTCTTGCCTCCTTTTACCTTCCATTTCCCCCCTTCTTCCTTGCTTCCACTGCCCAACCTTGTTTCCTTTTCCTTTTTTCCCCTTGTCCTTTCTCCCCTTTTTTTCCTTTTCCTTTTCCCCCTTTTTTTCCCTCTCTTCTTCATCCGTGGCGCCCCCAAAGGCTGGTGCCCGTGTGCGCCGCACGCCCTGCACACGCCCTAAGTCCGGGCCTGTTTTTCACAATAAATTATTCAAATGAAATTTCTTCATAAATTTTAAGCTGATGAAACTGTTTCCTGGTCTTATTACACAATATTTTAACTTTTTAATACCTTTGCGTGAAGCCGTTTTTAATTTTAAAACCAGTTTCTAGCTTTAAGGTGTCTGAAAACTTAGACGAGATGCTTTGAGTTAATTCAACAAAATACACCTTCTAATCAACTTAGGACTTGAACTTTATAATCAATTGTGCAATTAAGAAGCTAAGAAAATTTCAAGTTATGGGGAAAATTGGACTTTTCAGACTTCTTCGGTTCGCTGAAGCAAACTATTAGATCATTATTTCAACTCAGCCCTTGTAAAATTTGACTAAATGCTGAGAAAAACCTGTGGGTAAAAAATAAAACCTAGTCCAATGATGGCGTTAGAACCAAGAAGGAGCAAATGAAGGGAATCCTTAAATCGGAAAATTTTGGAGTCAAAGAAAAGCTTACGGGAAACCACCTGCTACAATAGCTTCAATGCTTGCCTAGGATTATCCTAATCCTCTAATCATAGGTATAAATATGATAAAGCTACATTCACACCAGTCATGATGAAAAAATAGTCATCAGTTTTATCATTTTGCATTAGATTTGTTGGATGGTGGATTAATTGAACAATCATTATAATTAAAACAACAAAGCTAACAGAAGACAGAAAAACAGATAAATCTACTTACTTCACTGTATGAGCCGTCCAGGCGTTCGCCTAAATCCCATTCAAGAGACGGTAAGTTCTGATCTATAAACTTGACAGAGTGAGCAGGATTCGGTAGAATATGTGATTGAAGGGTCTTTAGTTCCCACAAGGAGCTCTCTTGAGCATGAGTCGATTCAGGATCTGGTTCTTCAGCTAAAAACGGATCCCAGCCGACTAAGAGGAAAAAAAATAGATTATTTCAAGTGAAACTAGGAATCAAATATTGCTTCAAATGAAAGATCTATCCTCTAGAAAACTATTGGAGCTATTTCCGATTTTCAAAATATTTTTCGAAAGTATACAAACTTTTACAAAAAAAAAAGACAAGATAAGTTGGACTGTTTCAACAAATTACTAAAAAAGCAGAATTGGCAGTTTGTCTAGAGGGGCAGATGTACCTGCAAGCTAGAAGCGTCTTGAGCGGCGAGTAGGCCTTCAGCCGTGTTCGGCAATCTTTGTACCCAATCAGGTTGCAATTCCCTGTCTATAACCCGCTCAAAGTAGGATCAGATCCTACTTTTTGGGTCAAGATGCAGGTGTATCTGGCCTTTTAGAGGCATCTTATCGGAAACTTTCAATTTTATGTGATTGGTGATTATACACAGGCATATACAGATTATATACGGTGTATATTTTGTGGGCAAATAGTTAAAATAGGCCTGGGCAAATAATCAAATTTTGAATTAGGTTAGTACAAAGAGACCTAGAAATTTTGATGGTTTGAAAGTAAGAATTCATAAAACTAAAAACTATTATTGTACTTTTTTTTTCGAAAGGGTTCTCATATACTTTCAACTGCCAAAATTGTAACAACTCTGCACTAAACTGCGACAAGACAACAAATGTGACCAATAAAGCTTGGTTCTGACTCATCATATCATCTTATCTTCAAGCAGTAGTGACCGAATTATTTCAAGTCAAAAAAATGTCACACCAGGGCTAAAGAATGGCATCTGAGTTATTAAATACATTTCTGGAGCCCTAAAATTCCCAGATACAGTAATTCTCTCTTTTACTAGTAAAATCCACAGAGAACTTCATTTACAAACTGGAAAATATGATCCACTTACCACTAGTATCGGAGGAACCATGAATTAAACTTTTAAGCGTTGGATGACGGATGATCAGATTGCCTATAAATGCAGCAATAATTATCACATCAGCAGCAGGGGCTGTCAAACTTAACCTTGCCAATCTTTTAATAAATGAAGCGACTAAATTTTCTTGAAGATGCCTGTAAAACAGCACAAGTTAAGGAATACGTAGAGTAAGGGTTAAAATGTTACAACAGTCACAGAAGCAGAATTGTAACTTTTACTGGGCCATAGAAATCCTCCTGTATCCACTTGCCATTTTTTAAGCCTTCATGTTCAGTAAAAATTACATATTTCAATCTAAAATCCACATGCAAGAGTCAATAATTGTAGCTATTAAGAAGTGATTTTCATTCAATCCTCAAGCATTTAAACCAACGGAATTGAATTGATCTTGTGCTCCACTCAAACTTCGATGCTTTTTGCTCAGCCCCAAAAAATGCGAGACTTTCTATGTTTAGGGGCTCTCAGTTTCATCTTGTGATAAAAATCTATTACTAATATATTAGTTAGGAAGTGATAACATTATCCCACTCAAATAGTAGAGAGGAAACTTACGTTGATGAGAAGCAGATATTTGAGAGATGGAACAAACGTGCCTTGTACTTGGTATGGAAGATATTAGGTTCAAACAGTGCGTAGAGTTTCTTGAATATCTTTGAACAATCACTGAACAACAAAAAACACACACAAATATCAGTTACTTAGCTTTATTTTTAAGGAAAAGAAGGTTGTAAAAATTTAGGAAGATGATAAGAGAGAAAAACCAAAAAATATGATTTTCCTTATATTTACTACGAGGGTCATCCAAAAAGTAAGGTTCCCTACCTTGTATCTTCCGAACGAAAGAAGATAAATCAAATCGGTTAAAACGTACATATTAGGCATACTCTAAGCTTTAAAACAAGCTCAAGTTTTTGAAAATCGGTTGAGGACTTCGCGAGAAAACTCAATTTTACTGAGACGACCTCCCGTCGTCGCATGCCCACCTCCGAGGTCAGGATGCGCGGAGAGTCCCTTACTTCAGACTCGGCTTATCGCCTCTATACATCAAATCGAAAAGGAATTTAAAAGATTTTATCAAGGAGGCCTTACCTTACTTTTTGAGATAGTCTCCGCATCTTTTTTGACATTTCTGGTATCATTACAGCAGCTCTTTCATGCCTTCCGCATAAGAGGTCTCGTTTTAGCTCCAAAACCAGTCATTGCCAGCGATCTGCACCTCTAAATCGGTTGGAAATCGCTTTCCACAGTGGGAGTTTTTCATCTCAGGAATAGACGAAAGTCACCGACGAAAGTCAAAGACGAGAGTACGGTGGATTGGGGAAAAATTTTACCACGGTAAGCAACTGATTTGGAAGTGCAGATCGCTGGCAATGACTGGTTTTGGAGCCAAGACGAGACCTTTTACGCGGAAGGCATGAAAGAGCTGCTGTAATGATACCAGAAATGTCAAAAAAGATGCGGGGACTATCTCAAAAAGTAAGGTAAAGCCTCCTTGATAAAATCTTTTAAATTCCTTTTCGATTTGATGTAGAGAGGCGATAAGCCGAGTCTGAAGTAAGGGACTCTCCGCGCATCCTGACCTCGGAGGTGGGCACGCGACGACGGGAGGTCGTCTCAGTAAAATTGAGTTTTCTCGCGAAGTCCTCAACCGATTTTCAAAAACTTGAGCTTGTTTTAAAGCTTAGAGTATGCCTAATATGTACGTTTTAACTGATTTGTTATCTTCTTTCGTTCGGAAGATACAAGGTAGGGAACCTTACTTTTTGGATGACCCTCGTAAATAGTCTTGATCCTTCATTCAATCAAAAACAATTTAAACGGCGAGTAACAAGGCATTTTTTCACAAAAATAACAAAAAAACGTTTCAGCCTTCCTCGGTTGGATAAAAGACAGAAAAGAATTTAAAAATCTAAAATCTAAAATCTAATTTCGCGGCTGTACCTTTCAAAACGAGAAGCATGTTTTTATCCTTCATTTAAGATCCTGTTTGAGGGACCAACATAATCATTTCTCCACTTGCATTTAAAATTCATTAATTGAAAGAAGCTGCGTAAGCCAATGAAAAAAAAGAGAGGGAAAGAAAGATGGAAAGACGGAAACTTACAAATTGTGCTTCACGATTAAGACAAAAATTGCTTGCAGCGCTAATACACTAACTGGACCTCCTGAAAACAAAAACAATTAAAAATGCAAAATTTCATAACCATTTTTAGAGGAAATTCAGAACAAATAACTCTAGTTGAAGTTTATTTTTACGGCTAGGTACTTCATGGTAGGTTAAAAAAGAGGAAAGGGGAAAAAATAAAAATCAAGAGCAAGTGGCTACTTAAATTACTGGCTGAAGATACTGTTGCTCAAGGTGAGGTGCTACATTATAACATGTAGCAGAATACTTTTAGTTAAATGCTCAAGCAGCATCGTTTGAAAGAGTCATGCAAGATTTATTTTACCGGAACATTCCCTGGGAAAACAATCTGGTTTCTCCATTTCAAAGTGTCTTTACAACTTTTTATTTTTAAGTGGCAAACTGAAAAATCAAAGAAACATAAAATTTTATTGCTATCAATTGATATTAGAGTGCACCTAATAATCATCTCCACATGAATATGGATTATGTTAATGGCTAAATGCGAAAAATACTTATCTATGTTGCAAAGTGCAAAAGTCACCGATTATGTTTTCTTTTCTTCAAGGAGAATTGACCAAGATTGTTCCTAACCATTTTTTGTGATTTTTTCAGAATAAGGGAAGAGAACTTACAGAAAATGTAAGTAGAAAGTGTTAGATCGGTTTTCTTTTGAAGTAAAAAAACAGATGAAAAGACTTACAACATTGCAATTGAGCTACATATTTTTCATTTCTAGCCACTGATATATTTCCATGCGACTCAATATTTTGTTATTCTCATTACCTACTACTTGCTAGTGAATAGTGCGTATGTCGCAGGCAAATAGTCAAATCAGGCATTCTGTTAAATGCCTAGGAAAATAGTCATATATTCTTACTTAGACTGAAATTTTGATTATTTCTCTGACTGTGGACAAAATTATTCTTCGATTGTGTAGGAAAGAATTATGTATAAAAGCTTGCTTCATACGATCATATATATGTTTCCTCTGGTCCTAAAATGCAAATATATCTCAAAATAAGCAGCATTTAATAAAATAAAAAATTTTCCCGATTTGGGCAGTTAAAGAAACATGAGGAGTATTTTTGAATGGGAAACACAATGACAGTTTGTACTTTGATGGATTTTTAGTCTTAAAATATTGAAAATTTGGGAGGTTTTTGTGAAAACATAAAAAACCTTGAAAACTCTAAAAATTTGAGTATCTGCCTAGGCATTTGACAAAATACCTGATTTGACTGATTGCCTGTGGCACGTACATGCATTTTATGATGTTTCCTTACCATCATCAAGAGAGTCTGTTAAGAAATCCGCCAGAGTAAGAGGTTTCTCTAAGTTATGCAATATTCGCTCATTGAGGACAGTCAGTAACCGCAACTTTGTTGCTGGAGTGTGAGGCCAGTTTTTTATTGTCCACCAAACTTTGGTAACCGATGTTCGTAAAACATCCATGTCTGCTTTGAATTTTTTCTTGCCTAAAAAAAAGCCAATAAAATGATCATATTGTAAAATCACTATTGCAAGAAGTATTTTAATGTATGCATATAAAGTTTAGCAGCTAAAGAATTTGACATAGGATATGCTAAGAGCAGTGACCAAAGAAAGGCTGTTAAAAATGATGCTTGATTGGGTTCCTCCTGGAAAAAGATGAAGGAGGGTTCAACAAGAAATGAGGGTGTGCCAGCTTCCAAAAGGGCTTTAAAGGGGACGGCAACCCTAAAATCGAAAATGAGATAGTATTAAAAATATAAATGAAGCAAAATGGCTGTGTCCCGAAAGAAAAAATCGCAAAATTGGCAGAGATATGAAAGATTGTAAGTCTGACTGGTGACGTCATGCACTCCCGGTGCGAATGCGGTTCACACGCACACAACTCGAAGTCTGGCGCGTTTGCTGTCTGGCACTGCGAAGTCGCCTTAATAGTCACACCTAAGCAAAGAAAAAAAGAGTCGGCCAGGAACGAGTGAGATTGGGGCGAACTAATAACTTGTTGCGAACACGCATTGGCCACTTGACACCAGAGTGCAAAATGTGGGACGGAGCTCATGACTTAGCTCAAGTACTCAGCTGTTTATTTGCGATAGCGACTCAACGGATGAAGATATTCGCAAAAAAATTTTGGCATCGTTCATTGCACACTTTTCTTCGACGATTTAGCCGAACTTGTTTTTAAGGTTGTCGTTCCCTTTAAGAGGATAGGGGTCTATGGCGGTTTGCAACCGCAGAATGCCAGAAAGCGCTGTAAAAGAGACTTTCATGTAGATGTACATTTGGATGAAAATCACTGCAGCACACTCATAGTTATCTTGTCCAAAAACAAAAAATATTCTTTAAAAAAAGAATATTATAAGTTGGGTTGAACAAATATAATCAAAATCAGTGTGACTGCATTTTACACTGCTGAATTTTCTTTCATGTTTCTTTTTATGGACAGAAAACTGTACTAACTACCGCCCTTAAAATTTCTGTGAGTTTACCCCGAGATTAAGAAAGATATCGCCGCAAAAATTCGAGTTTCAGTACCTATTGGTTAGTTTTCTGTTGTAAAAAAAAAGTTTGAGCAAATTGGGTAGCGTCTGATGTAGTTAGGCTGATTTTGATTAAATCTGTCCAGTTTATCTAAGAAGTATCTGGTAAGTAATCAACTTATAAAACTAACCTCTTATGAAACACAGCAAATTCTCATCTAGATTTTCCTTTGAAGCTTTCTCAAGTTCTTTTTCTTCTGTTTTTGCAGTTGGTAATTGGTCAATCAAAAGTAATATATTCTTGACTGCTACTTCAGATGGATTTTTTACAGCGGAAACTGCTCCAGCGAGGGCCATCCATGAGAAATACACAACATCCAGGAAGGAGGAGAACATTTCTTCAAGTTTAGGCAACAGTTTCTTAATACTTCTATCAGATGAGAGGAACGCTGAGTATAGTTGCTGTAAAGAACAACCAAAAGTAGATTAAAACAATAGCCGAACAAGATAACTGTATATTAGGGACAATAGTATCTTCTATCCCCTCGCACGTTTGCAGTATATTAATATATTTGTTCTTTTCAGTCAAATAATAATTTGTATCTTTAGCATAGTCCACAGCACTGAAATATTGGTCAATGTTCAATCTGAGTGTACTTTTTGCAAAGCTTCAGCAAGTTAAAACATAGATCACTTTTGTCAATACTCCTTACTTTTTGCAAAATTCTCTAAAAATAAAGAAACATGGGGAATCAATCCAAAGGTCCCTGGTGAGAAAGGATGAAACATTTATTTGCGCCCTTGAAATTACGATGCTGAGCCGTTGTAAAGTAAGACTATGAGCTCATATTGGTGAATTAGGCGCGGTATCTTTTGACTCAAACTATTAGATATCAATACTTCTTAAAATTAAACAATTTGAAACGAAATATTCAATTTCAGAAGAAAAATGGTACAGGTGTAGCATATGTAGGAAGCAAGCTAAGAAATGCTTTTGATGTTGAGATCAAATTTTTTCAAGTACACAAGAGAAGATTAGAAAGTATCCAAATGAACTAGAGATTACCTGCAACCTGTGGATAGGAAAATAATACTGCTTGGGATTGATTCCATCATCGACAGGATATTTTCCCTCAGCAGCAATTAATTTAAAAATCACAGATAGAGTTTCCACTTGAAGAGTATGTTTTTGACCTTTTATAACTAATTGAAGTAATTTTGAAAAACAGAGGTCGTAGTTTTCTTTCAACCAGTTCCGATACTCAATTTCCACAGAATCTATAAAAAAAAACAACCAAAAAACAATACAATCGATTCTAATTACAGCAGACTATATTAGTAATGAACGTTTTATGAATAATAGCATGTTCTAGAGAGACTTGGAGGTCTAAAAGCATCTGTGATTGGTTAAAATTATGGTGAATTAGGAGTTTGTTGCTGCATGACATCACATGGTGCAGGTCACATTTAATACCAGGGTCATTCAAAAGAATGTTTCACATCTTTCCGTTCTCAACAGCTTATGAAGATATTCTCAATCGAAAAAACATTTGCTCTGCGTTTCTTCAACTCCTCTGAGAGCCAACTCTCCATGGCATAGTTTTACTTATATAAAAAAAAGCATTTTTCGAATTTCTAAAAACTTAAAGTCTCTACAGCATGATATGGCAAACTTTTAATAATATTTTCATTTTTCAAAAAAATAAGGGACTTCATGGTTTTTTAAAAGCTACAACATAGATTTGTGCCTCCCAAAATTAATTCATGGCATTGAAGGTTAAGCAAATAGAAATTGATCCTGTAGATTTCTGGTAAAATCAATTCACCTAATCCAACCTGGGCTCCAAAAAGTTCCAGGACACTGATGGTTTTTGCGATTCGACATTTCTGCCTCCCAATAAAATTTACGACTTGCCCAATTTATTACACTTGGGAGCCTTCTAATTCTCAGAATCTCTTTTCAGAGGTTGTGGACTTTCCTCCAATCCCAAGATTTGCATCACTTTTCCCATTTGCTGCGGAAGTTGAGATCTAAGATCGAGCGATTTGCACCTCTGAGGCCAATCCTGTCTTCACCTTTGCCCGAAAAGTCAATGAGTTGAGGAAAGAGGTCATGTTTAAAATTCAGATTAGTTTCGAAATGATTTATCCAGTTTCCAATATAGTCCTCCCTTTCAGAAGTAGCGCAAATGATATTCAAAGGTCCACTAGTTCCAAGAGGTGACTCTGGACAAAACTGAGGCTGCATTTTGTTTTAAAATACAGAATCAGTTGTCTTTTCGATATAATTTTTGAAAAAGTTGATGAAAAATTAGTTAGATGTCATCAACTGTTTTTCAGAAAAAAATATGGTTCAATGCTATAATGAGGAGGTAAATCATTCATTGAGCAGCACTACAATGACCACTAGTAAAATTATTACTTACTTTAATTCATTCAAAGATAACAAAAATCTCTGTAGCTTCAATGGTAAAGTAGCTGAAGAAAACATTCACGGAATTGAAATGAACTACTTTTAGTGGATACTTACCTTCACTACTCAATATTTGTGGGGACAGATCACCTCGACTAAGGAGTTTTGAGAAGACTAGATCAATAGCAAGAACATTTGAGATGTAAGCAGATGCAGGGTCCTGTAAAAAAAAGAATATTTCAGTTAATTTAGATTCAGATTAACTTATTAAGAAGAGAAAATACATATGACGGTAAATAAATTAAAGTCACTAAAACCAACTTGCCAAGAGGTGTAACCATTGCCCACGAGAATAGAGAGGCCTTAACTACGATACTGTGACAACATGCTGGTATATGAGCTCGGCTACAATTTAACATGTGTCCTTGTGAAAGAACGCATGACACATGTTTTTTTGGTGCTAATATCTTTTCAGGGGTTGATCTGATGCAAAAATTCGCTTGAACCTTCTGAGAGAAGATAAAATTTCACATCAGATAACTGCCTTGTTCATGAATTACATTGTCTGATAATTGAGAAAATAAAAGCTAAACACGACTAAATACCGAAAACCTTTACTCGACTCATGCAACTTCGGCCGATCAACGGCAGCTCTGATTGGTTAACACAGCAATTACTCCACTAGTTTGATGTCATAAAACCAAGTAGTTACAGCCTCTCCATTCTCGCAGGCAACGGTCAAACCTCGTGCGGCAAAAGTAGTAAAATGCATGTAGAAAAGTCGAAGATAAGTTGTACGTTCCTCTGCCAAAGAGACAATGAATTAAGTATTGACTCTTTTAAATGCAACCCTATACTGAAACTGAGCAGGTACAATAAAAAGTGGCTGATTGACTGCAGAACATTAAGCTACAAGGCATTATTTACGAAGGAAGTTTTCCAAAACCATATCTGATCCTTTAAGATTCTTATGAAAAGAATTGAACTATGCAACATACTGCAACTACGATTGTCACACAAAATCACTTGAGGTTAAACTCAACACCAAAGCCACTTAGCCGTATTGTTTTACAAAACTACTTTCGTAAAAAGCTCCAACAAATGATGAATAATTCAGGATTGGCATAGTCCCACTTGTCTTACTCGAGAACATAACCATCCGTCTTACATGTGAGATTGACCAATTGTACATACAACCCAGTACACCCTGAGCTTATGATTCAAAAATATCTGATTAAGCTTTCGAAAATGAATTGAAATTCTACATGTTTAAATGGAATTAGGTGATTTCAAGCGATACAAATTAAAAATATCTCACGTCTAAATCTGCTGCAAGCTCCACAAGGTTGTTGGCATTCTTTCGGTTTTTCAAAAACTCTTCAGCTTTCTTTTTGTACTCTTTACTTCTAGACAAAGCCATAATTGTTCACCAAAAATGAATATCACATGAATGGAGCCTTCACAATGTGCACTTTCAATCAAATCAATAACTTCTTGTGGTTCACGTTTCACGTGCACGCACTTACCCAAAACAAATACATAACCTCTAAACAAAACATGAGACAAGTCACGTGACTTATTTCAGCTCTTGGTTTTCACAGAGTTTGATTGGATAATGTTTTGCACCATTTATTGCCAGGACAGAATTTGATTGGATAATGTTTCGCGCCTTTTTTTGCCGGGAAATTCAGTTCTGCGGGCTTTTTTCCGCCTAGCGACGGTGTAATAAAAGTCGGCAATCACATAATAACTCGGTTTGCGACGTCGCAGACTCCCTGTCATACTTTATTTTTTAAACGGAAAACAACTCAACGGCAATTCTTTAAAACTGCCGTGATTTTTCCTCCCTGTGCGAGGAAAATTCTGCACAAACTTCAAGGAATGATGTCAATTTGTTCTCCTTTAAAAATAGCATAGAGGCGGAGATTTTCAAACACCGCAAACGAGTTTAGTGATTGCCGACTTACACTGTAGTTATGCATAACATTCCACTTCAGTCTTTAAAAGCATATAAAGGACCATTTTCGCCATATTTTTTAGCTCTTGTGATTAACAACTTTTCTCAGGAGTTGATTGATTCTCGCCAGACAGTAATACGTTAACTATGAAAAGTATGGAAAGAGGATTGATCGTGGAAATAATTTATGATCCAATCAACTTTAACATTCCATGATAAGTTTTCCTTGAAATGTTTAGATACGATTCCTTCAAGTGCGAATAGACTTCTCTGAAAATTTCTGGGAAAAATGTTCAAAAGTTTTCTAGAAAAACCACATTTTATCAAATTTTTTTTGGAGAAGTCCAGATATTGTTACGTCATTTTTTTCCGAGTGCTCCAGAACTCGGCTAATGCACCTTCCATAAACCGTCACGTGTATGCTGCCGTGCTAAGGAAAAACGCCGTATGAGCCTTCAGGCGTTGCCAAATTTCCTGTGGCAAATCACTAATTTTCAGCAAAATGTTTGAATTTTTTTCTTTCAATTTCTCAGATAATTTTGTTCGTAATTTGATCTAAAGTGTCAAAAAATGTCACGGAAAAATATTCATAATTTTCCTCAAAAATATACATTTTATTGGAGGAAATTTGGGAACTCTCGAATGTTCATACGACGTTTTTCCTTCGCACGGCAGTATGACCCAACACGCGTCCAATAACGAAGAATAACGCCCTCTTATTTGATTGGAAAATGCAAACACCGTTATTTCTCGTTTTCCTGATTAATTTCTCCTTCTTGGTGCTTGGGGACCACATTTTGAAACTTGGAAGCATTCAAGCGGGCCTAATTTTCTTCTAAGAATAAATTGGAAATAGAAATTTGGAACGGCCGCAATCACCGGTATTTCTGCCAAACAGAACTATGTGCATTAAGACATGAGCCCTGAGACCCATAAGAATATGTCCATACCATAACAGGGGTCAAGTCATAATGCACATAAAGTCCCGTTTGATAGAAATACGTCCATAGTCGTGCAATTTTACTCCGTGGCGTAAGTTTTCTTCTTTCAACCGCAACTGACAGTGCCTCCCACTGTCTTCTTCAGAATTACACACAAAACAATGAGGACAAATGAAACAAATCTGCTTGTGAGGGCTTTGTTTTTATTAGTAAATGGAGAAGATTTCGATTCCTGCGAGTATTGTATTCATACAGGGTTATCCAGAAGTCTGGGACCCCCCTTATAACTTTTGAACAAAAAATGCTAGAGATTTGAAATTTGGGGAATGTTCCTAGGTCAAAGGGAACTACTTTTTGGCGTACCCAAAATTTTGGGGAGCGCCCCCCCTGAGGGGGGGCGGACCCTAACTTTTTTTTTTCAAATGGGAACCCCTATCTTGTGATACATCATTCGAAAGNTCTGGATAACCCTGTATTGTTTGAGTCATGACAGTCGTATCGAATATCTGGAGCATTTAAAAGTGGGTTAGTAACTCATCAGGCTGTGGAGCATAAAACATTTTGAGAATACTAAATAATACATGGATTTCTTTATTGAAGGAATAACGACTCAAATTAAAATAAATGGACAGAATATCAAGATCCATCAAGTTATAAGTACAAAGGTTTACAAATTTCCGTTTAATGTGTGCATAATCCTCCATATCCCTACAAATGTACGTCAGTAGAGGAAATAATATATTTTTGAAAAGTTGCTTTGCGGTGTAGCGAATGCCCCCTCCCCCAGGAAAACCTGAACACATTGGCGGATCCAGCAAATTGGCAACATTGTCTTGTCTCCATTTGAACCTACATACATATAAGTCGCTTTACAGCACTCCCTCGCGCTCTCCGACTCCTAACCTCCACTGCTCTCTTTCAAACCACAAATCATGGGGGATCCATTTGAACCTACCTATGGAAATGTATCGATTTTTGCAGGGGCCAGGTGCTCCGAGAAGAATCGATTACTTAGCATAGCTTTAAAAAGCGGAAATCCAGTGTTGCCAAATGGCTGGATCCGCCTCTGACAAAATATCCGATGAAATTTGTTTTTTACGAACTGAGGAAAATTTACGAGGCCAAACTGTTAGTTTCTCATTTTCTTTTGGTAAAAAAAGAGGCATGAGTGAAGATGGTAATGTTTCGATCGGAGATACATTTTTTCGACTTTGGTCATCGTGATGCTGTTGTAAGTGTCACATCAAGGTCCGAATGAAGAACATCAGTGTGGATCCTCTTAGATGAGGCATTTGCGGGGTTTCGGGGGTAAAGCATAGGGGACGGGGACGGTCGGAAGATTTTCCCAATCGCCGGGAAAGCGAGCTCCGTTGCTCTGATTGCAGGAGAATGACATTGTGCTCTGTTTGAAAAGCTCATCGAGAAGGCGGGCCCGCATCGGTGTCCACTCAATTGAATTAAAGTTCTCGACCACGCCTTTCTCTTCGCTTGTGTCTTGATTTTCCCATCTGAAAAAGCCATGACATTCAAATCAGTATCATTAAAAGGCTCATTTTAGTGGCGAGCACTGGAAAAAACACATTAGATCTAGAGTCTAGACTCTTGAAAACATTCACAAGAAAAAATACCTACTCTTGATTCAATCGGATCTTTGCGTGAATCAAAACAAAATCCGCTTAAATTAAGAGGCTTGGTTCTTGATTAAAGCTGGATTCTGATTGAATCAAGAGTACTTTTTCATGTCTATGTTGTTAAGAGTCTACACTCTAGATCCAATGAAAAAGTAATCTTGATTCAATCAGAATACAGAATCTAACTAAAATCAAGAACTAATTAAGCCTCTTAATTTAAGCGGATTTCGTTTCGATTCAAGCGAAAATCCGATTGAATCAAGAGTATTTTTTCTTGTCAATGTTTTCAAGAGTCTGGACTCTAGATCCAATGTGTTTTTTTTTTCCAGGGAGGCGTGAATGATTGATTATTGATATTTCCTCATTTGAGGCCAATGTAAAGAATCGAGTTTTAAGGCGTTCGTTGCGGACATTCTGTAGGTATATCGATCCTTTTTCATAGGCTTAAATGGCAGATTAATCGATAGATCGCAAAGCACGCCAGGCCACTTGCTCACTTGAAAGGTTTTTACCAGAATTTGCCTATGTTTCACGTACCTAGCCTTAATTTTTTTTTAGTGTTTTTTTCTCATAGGTTGTACATTGAGAACATTTTTCTTTTATATATACCGTGATAAAGGAATTCTACGAAGCGACGTTGTAAATTTCCAGTCATCCTTGATTTTCTCTTTAAAAAACCAGGCCTTGTAATTTCTTGAAAACTTCCTTGATTTTTCTTCTTTATTAGCAGAAAATTCTGTACTTTAAAGCTATAATATTGACTTGTTTCCCCGGAAGAAAATAACATAAGGAACGGACATTTTGAAACATCGCAATGAAGATACGTGGTTTCGCACTGTGGCCGGTCATTCCGAGTTTTAATAAAGAACTCTAACTAACGCTACGTGTAAGCTTTGACTCATTTTTTTCGCATGTTTTTTCATGTGTGCTCTATGCACATATTAAAAGTATGACTTACTCTTTTAGTGATCTAAAAAATGTATTCAAGTTATTGAGGGTAACTGAGCTTTTGCACACTTCAAGATTGACGGCAGGGTAATAGTGGACATAGTTGACACACATCTCATCCGTTATCGACTCCCCTCCGACGGTGATGTTCCTTCGGTCCATCGTGTGATAAATGCATTCCGTGATCAAAGCGTCGCCCTTGGAAAAAGGAGAGAAAATTAATCGGAGAAGGAATAGACTTGACGCAGTCGTATTGCGAGCGACAAGGATGAGCGCAGTAAACAGTGAAAAAAAAAATTCTTGAGATTTTATTTTTACTTACAGCGTCGCAGGGCCGGATTAAGGGGGTGGCCACGTAGGCCGCGGCCCATGGCGGCAAATCTTAGGGGCGGCAAAAATTTGCAATTTTTTAAAGTGTAGGTATAAAAAAAATCGGATTTATAATAACAAAATTACAAACGAGAAAAGGCGACAAAATCTCTCATTTCCTAAGAGTATAGTAATTTCTAGTTTTGTCGTCTCTTAGTGATACAAGAGACAACACCTTCAATAAGTCGAGTTAAGAGAGAGACCAAACACGCAATTACTTAACTTTCGCGCAAAGTTTCGTGAACTTTTGCTAGTAGTATTGACAGGGCTTTCCCAAAAAATGTGTTCAACACGAGTAAATTTGGGCAATTCTACGAAAACTGTCCAATTTGACCTCCCAAAAACTAAAAATTCAACTATGGTCGTGACATACATTTTATCAATGAAGTGAATGCGACAAAGACTTAAGATGCAGACAATCACACACGCTAAATTTATAAAAATAAATAAATTGAATGTAAAAGAGGAAACTTACAGGAAGAATGTGGGCTGGTTGTTTGAGAAGTCTGATCTCCTGAAAATGAGGGCTATAGTGGTTATCTCGATTCACCTCAACCAACTCCCGTCCGTCCCTGATATGTCTGGTGTAAATCCGGTACCCACATAGATGGGTGTGCAATTGCGATCCAAATATAATAATCCCTTCAGGAGGAATTCCCTGTTGAAATTTTAAAGAATTTTTTTTATGAATCTTGTGTAAATCTGTCAGGAATCGATCATCATTCACCCGTTGAAAGTGACCACCATTACTACCGTAATAATCCATTGATAAATGCCAAAAAAGGTTTTTTTTTTTCTTTTAGTCTATCGTCTTGTGCTTTGTTTTACTTGAGCCTTGCCCATCAGGTACTTTTTTCTCCTCTTACACTAAAATTTAATACAAAAAGTAAAATAAAACACAAAAGCTAGAATTACATCATTGATAGAATATGTTTGCGTAAATACTTATGTTCAACTAAAAGTTAGCATCTCTCAGAGGGAGTTGAAACGATTTTAGTAACTTTTACATAAAACTGTGGCAAGAGCAGCAGCGCAATAAACGCAATAAGGGGAGACATAATCAAGTTGAGTTCGGCAGAAAGAAACCAAATAACATTTCTTCAAACAGAAAAAGGGCTTCAAAAATATGGTTCAAGGTTTTCCTCATCCATGAGCCTACATGTGAAAAAAAATAAACAAATAAATTTAAATTGAGGATACTAAATCATTATTGTGACCTGTGATTTTTTAGAAGAAGAAAGTGACTCGTCGATTCATTTATCACTTAGTTTATTCTTGACAAAAAAAATCACCCAGCTCCTTTTTTGGTACTTTCAGTCTTTATTATGGTGTTCAATTAGCTTGCAAAGAATCATGAATCTAAGAAATGATCTGTCTTGTACCGCAAATTAATACGTTGCAAGTCACCTTTTCATGTTTATGTGCAGCGTGTAACAAGCCCTCGGTGCCTTGAAACAGAATGGACAGAAAGCCGCTAGTTGCTTTGCTGTAAGCTGTAATGAGAAAAAAGATAGCCAAAAGGCCTTCAATTCTGTGAGTATGCAACGCAGACATCCACTGAGCACGAATAGTTGCATCCAAGCAGGCGAGGCGCTACTATCAGTATCGCGTCCACTAACAATTAGATGAAGTTATGCATTCGTTAACCGATTTCACTTAATGTTGCATTGCTACTCTTTAAAGTCGTTATTACTTACCACGGCAGTGCACTCCGGGACGCAAAACCCTGTTAGAGGAAAGTAGGATTGCTGAGGAGGTATCGCCATTTTATTCGTGTATTCTAATCCCAGTTCCATCACACCTGCGTCATATGGTCGTAGTCTGGATGTCAGTGTCAACTGGATGCCGGAACTATCGATGACATCTGTGAAATTATAAGTACCATGTTCTATAAAAGGGAGAAATAAATTTGCTTTATGCGTTTAAACCATCTCGATCTCTAAAAATACAATCTTCTCTCCTAGGCGCGGAGCCCCGTTTAATGGGTTAAGCTAAAAGAAAAAATGAGGATAATGGTGACTAAAACGTATCACGTATCCTGCCGTGCTAAGGAAAAACGCCGTATGAGCCTTCAGATGTTGCCTAGTTTCCTCCGAAAAAACCGAATTAACTGGGAAAATTCTGAAAATTAGTTTCCAAAATTTTCAGACACTTGTTTACGCAATATAATCTAAAATATCTGAAAATTTCAAGGAAAAATATGCATGAATGTTATCAGAAATACATGTTTTATTACGGGAAATTTGGCAACTCTCGAATGTTCATTCGGCGTTCTTCCTTAACACGGCAGTATCTCCGTTTGCGATGTTGCAGATTTCCTGTCATACTTTATTATTTTCTCGGAAAACCAGTCAACTTATTTTTTTGAATACTTCCTTGATTTTTTCCTCTCCGTCAACAGAATATTCTACAAAAATGTTATGCTGTAAAATTGCCTGGTTTTTCCTCGCAAAAATGAAGCAAGAACGGAAATTTGGAAACACCGCAATGGAGATACGTGGTTATTCACTTCAGCCACGGATATAATACAGAATAGGAAAAGTTATAAATAATTACAAACCTCCTCTTTTATCAGGATTATGGTAGTGCACCTCAAGCATGACGTATAAATTATAATCTGGTCCTCCGATTGGCAAACCTGCCTCCTGCAAACGATGGAGAGATTCAATATTATTTCACAAGATTTCGCATTATGTTCTATAATGAATTATTGGGAGATGGGTTCTAATTACGAACCACAGATACCCTTTCTCTACCCTGCTAAAGAAGAACGCCGTATGAACATTCGAGAGTTGCCAAATTTCCTCGGATAAAATGTTCATTTTTGAGAAAACTTATAAATTTTTTTCCTTGCAATTTTCAGACACTTTAGATCAAATTAAAAACAAAATTATCTGAGAAATTGGCAGAGAAAAAATTCAATAAATTTTCTGAAAATTAGTGATTTGCCAGAGGAAATTTGGCAACACCTGAAGGTTCATACGGCGTTTCTCCTTAGCACGGCAGTTCTGCTATCGTTCAGTCGGTCACTCGGTCACCCTAGAATCTCTGGAATCTCTGGACCTCTCTAATTGATTCGATCCACTGTGCTCCGTAAACCGAGAGATAAGCATATCTGCAATTTCACCATCGTATTGCTGCATATGATAGGAGTTTTTTTTACCTACCTCAAAAATTGGAGGCAGAATGGGAAACTTAATCTGCATGTACCGTTTCAGGTCTTGAACGCTTCCCTCACATTTTCGATGAAAGAACGCCACTGAGGTAGGTATGATGATGGGATTTCTTGTTTCTTTAACTAGGCGAGAGGAGAACAACTTTGATCATAGTTAAAACTTAAAAGTAAATACCTTACCTTAGGGTAAAAGAACGGTGTGGCTCCCATTGCCCAAGCCGCGATGACTTTTTTGCAGACTTTGGTTTTTTCAGGTCTCTCGAAGTCTGAGCATGAACCAGCATAATCTGGAATCTCATCTCCTGGACCGGCGACGCAGTGGAACACCTCCATGTGGTGAACTATTCCTTCGCTTGATGGTTCTATGACAGCTTCGTACTTTAAAAAAAAAAAAAAAAAAAAAAAAAAAAAAAAACATAAAAAAAAATTATGAGAGACTTAAGGTGAAGATTCGTATCAAGAAACAACAACAACACCACGAATCTTACATATGAAAAAAAAAACACGAAGAAGAAACTGTCTACAGTTGCTCTCATCAAGCAGGATGATGATCCATGAATTTTTTTTTCAGGTTTTAAAACTTTTCTTCTTGTTTTTAAACGCTACGCAGTCTTTTTACAGGATTGTTAAATCAACGAAGAGTCTTTTTCTACGAACAAACGTGTCAGTAGTTGCCGGAACCAAAGTTGGTAGTTTTCCTGACAAAGGAACGTAACCGCATTTCAATGATGCGGAATTCCAATTGCAAATTGCATTTTTACCAGGAGAATATTGGGAATTTCTAACTGAAAATTTCACTGGTTTGTGTTTTGATCTAATGCGAAAATCAGGAAAATTTTGGACAAAAATTGCTCAAGTACATTCTTGTAAAAATTAATCTGTTTCAGTCAACTTTGCAACTTTGGAATGGAGTTACGTCCCTTCGTACTGGAAACGACTTCTTGCTCCGAACAACATAACTCTATGAAAGAAAATTGAGCTCGAGTGAGCTTTCTCAAAGTATTATACAAGAGACCGCGATATTCGAAGACGCGATTATTCTAACGCGAGTGCGAATAATACCGCCGAACACAGTGCGGTCGGCAGAAAACGCATATTAGCGCCTACAAGATTGTAGAAATACTTCACGCATTGCACTAAACAGCATGCAGTCGACGTGAAGCGTATACTAGCGTTTCCAAGACTGTAGAGATGCTTCACACATTATATCGGGCTTATTGTTACGATTTGTCACGAACCGTCGTTTTTAAAGCACGTATTCGACTTAGTTTTTGCATAAATTCACTTATTTTTGCGAAAGAATGCTCACTTAGGAACATTCTCTGCCATCTTGATTTGACATTGGAATCTGAAGATTTACAGTGGCATCTTTTGTGTTAGAAGGTTGACTGACCTTTTGGACCCGAGAGCTTCAGATTTTGACATGTCTGCACTCACCCGATATAGGTACCTATTCTACTTTTCGGTAACACATCAGATGTGTCCGCTGACTGAAAACGCTATAGACTATTTTTCAAGGCGCCTCAAAACGTTACTCCATACCTTTTTATCTATAGAACATATGATTATTTTCTCTTCCCTTCTTTTAAAAATATGGAAGAATCACATTGCAATAATTTTTTCTTTGCAATAGATATTTGATGCTCTGCTTTGTGCATAAATCATTTGGTTAGGTCCATTACGTTAACGATCTTATGAACATCGCTGAAAACATGTTTTTGAGATAGTATATTTTGACTTGAAACGTCGTTTCTTGTCGACAATGTTTTTTTTTAGTTTAAAAAGAGCCGTTTTGCTATCGTTAAGTTTGATTTAAAAAAACGAAAGCATAACAACGTTTCTTTGACTAAAAAAATGCTGACTTTAAGTTAATATAAATCCGCACGGTTTTAACTTAGAAAAAAAAGGGGGGGAAAAAAATTGTCAAAAACGACGCATTGAATCAAAATAATGTCTCAAAAAATTTTTTTCCAGTGCATAGAACTGAAATAAGCTGCCGTGCTGAGGAAGAACACCGTATGAACCTTGCCAAATTTCTCTTGATAAAATATGTATTCTCGAGAACATTCATGCTTATTTTTCCTAGAATTTTTCAGATATTTTAGATTAAATTGCGTACAAAATTGTCTGAGAATTTCAGACAATAATATGCGCAATTTTTCTTGTAAATTCGGTTTTTATCGGAGGGAACTTAGCAACGTCTGAAGGCTCATAGGGCGTTCTTCCTTAGCACGGCAGTACAAAAGACGAATCAATGAATCATCTCACCGCAATTATGTGATGTTTTTCCCGGAGCTCCTCGGGGAGTTTGTGAAGTGTGCACCAGTAAGTTGTCTCCACATCGGGGACTTTTACTTGAGAGTTCAAGATTTTCACCGGCCACGATCCCGCATCTAAATCCGGGTCCGCGTTGATATTCTTCAAGAGCTGAGTCCGCTGCATCCCCGATTTCTCGGCTTCCGCCACATTCAGACCCTCGAGCTTGAACAATGGACTCGAGCCCTTGACCCAAACAATGTGAGTTGTTCCTTCCTGAGAAGAAATAGGTACAAGATATGTAATTATAACAGACCTCGATGATTCAGCACTTTAGTTCATAGCGATATCGCCCGTCATGAGTCATGTTACATCATTTTTACGCATTCTTGTTGTTGTTTTTATTTATTTACTTTTATTTATTTTTTATTTACATTAGTGTACATAAATGACACAAACATAGTGTCCAAGCATACTTGTCAGCGAAAACCCCCAAAATTTACTTTTTAAACATCATTATAAAAGTCACTTAGAGAGTAAAATGCCTTACAAACCAATAAAGTTTTTAACGCCTTGAAAAGAGCGTTAACTTCCCAGTCTTTCAATAGTTTTCTTAATTTCGTGATTTTCCTTAATTTCGTGATTTTCCTTTATTTCGTGATTTTCCTTAATTTCGTGATTTTCCTTAATTTCTTGATTTTCCTTAATTTCGTAATTTATTTATTGTGACCTCGAAAAAATGACCTAATAACATAACCAGGTACAAAATTTAGCAGATTAAAGACAAGTTAGACATTTGAGAAAGAAACCAGAAAAAGACTTAGAGAAATATAAAGGCAATAGAGAATTTTTTTAAAAAAATTACTCAATCGGCGGGAGAAGGGGGGGCATTACGAGGTCACACTAGAATTATGTTGTGATATACCATTGGTGGGACGCATTTTATTTATTTAATGTAATTATAATGTGTCTATACATATCGATGACCGAAGTGCGAAACCATTTATCTCTGTTTGGAATGTTGCAGACTTCCTGTCATACTTAATTTTTTCAATGGGAAGCAATAATCAACGTAAATTCTTGATATCTTTCTTGATTTTTCTTCTCTGTCGGAGGAACATTTTGTAAAAATTTTAAGCTGTAGTGGCTTGCTTCTCCTCAAAAAAATAGAGTAGGAGTAGAAAGTTTGAAACACCACATTGGAGATACGTGGTCTCACAGTACGGTCATTGACATTTACTTAATATGTATCTTTTTAAATTATTTGTTACATTATATATTAAGAAGACCCGAAATAAGTCCTGGGGCCTGGGCACCACATTGCTACAAACACCTTGCAATTGCTAGTTTTACCTTAGTCATAGCCTTCATTTTGCATTTTTTCCCAACGGATTCTCGAGGTGGAAATTTTGTTTACTCCACCTAAAGATTTTTAAGTGCTTTGTTATATTACGAAACAGAAAAATTTTCATTTGAGCCTGCAGACTAGCGCATCTAACTCAACCCAATTTACTGATAAAACAAAAATATTCTAGCATCACCCAATTAAACCTAGCATAAGTAACCTATTTTTAACTTGCGTCTCGGCATCTCGGAACAGCCAGAGATTTATGGCATTCATCTTGAAACAAATTTTATTGCGCCACGAGTCAAGACTCAATGAGGAGATACCGGTTTTAAAAATTAATCACATTATTTTACCAATAATGAAAGTGCTGTATCTTCTTTTTTACCTTTACTCCTATCACAATCGATCAATTTTATCTAAAATCTAAAAATTAATTTATTTTACCTTTTGAATGGTAACAATGTAAAATTCTTTTATGGTTGTAAAGTTCGAGACATTAAACTCTTTTTTATTGTTAATTAACCCTGATACAAAAGGTAAAAGATTATCATCTTTACTTAAATTAAATTTTTATAATTTTTTTTTGGCTATATTTAATTATATTTTTTAGAAATTTAATTTTAATTAATTTTTAACTTTTAATTAGTTAATAAAGCATGTTGTCTTTTTCTTTTACTACTACATATATCAGTGAATGCGAATTAAAGTCCAATGAAAAAATTGGTTTTTATTCGTTTTCTTTTGACGAATCTCTTGATGATATCGATCGACTCGTTGGCACTATTTATGCTCAGTATTTGAAGGAGAGAGCATACATTCTTAGTCGTTAGAATCGCGATGATAATTTAATACTGATAACGAAAAAATTGACAACTTACCTCAATTACATAGTCACCAGAATCACATGTGTCAAATTTTCTGGTGTAGAAAAATAAAATATCTTCACCCTCTCTTGCGAAGTCAAAGTTAAGGCAATCATTTTGTTCATCGACAAAGATACGGCCCTCTTCGTCCGTGTGAACATCCTACGATAAAATGAACGTTTTCATTCACTGTCTTACAATAATTTTCAAAATATCAATTTAATGACTACGTGCATTTGTAGGTATATTCGATGCAGAAGTTCATTGTATTGGCGTTGTTGGCACAGCTTCATTAAATTTCAAGTCGGAATGGAACTTCTCTTCTTTTCACAACAGAAGATTCCAGGAAACCAAATATCATAATTTCATCATTGAATTCTTACAGAAAAAAGGCGGAAAATATACTCCCTGAAAAAAGGATATTATTTTCTCAGGGTAGTGGTCCAATGGTCATTGGCGGCTAAAATTGATTAAAAATCGATGGTTTTCTGCAATATTTTTTTATCCATTCATTCATTACTTTTTTATATTCATGTTTTTTAAACATTTAATATTGAAAAGGTATCAACAGTTTCGAATAATATTGCCTCATGAAAAGTTAATTGAACCAACCATTCATGTTACATTGTGAATAACGTACGAGTTCAACCCTCATTTTTCAGTTCCATGATGGTTCCATGTATTGTATTTTTGATTTCGCACGATTTTCGAAAAATACATATCAAACTTTTACTCATAATTACTATGGTTATCTACTTATTTCTTCTTCGTGCTCTTCCGTTTATGAAGATGGGATTTTTACTATGCGGTAACTTTAGACATTTCCATAAACTATTATGATTTTTTTACCTCTTTAAAACTCAATTGTTACCTAAGATTAGGCGCTCATTCCAGCAGCTTATTTATTCATAGACTTTAAAACGTTTTATTTACCCAATATCAGTTCTCTGAATTCAAAAAAAAAACTAGAGTTGAGAAATGAACATTGTGAACAAATCTGAAAAATCTGAGCGAATCATGAAGTAATTGAGGGGCTTGGAGGACAAGGCGCAGAAATGCAGTTTTTGAAAAAATTGAGATATTCGTGAACTAAATTTAGTTTGAAAATATACCCTGTGAAAAATTCACAACAGAGATCCAACTTTAAAGCATAAAAAATTTAGTTCAAATTTCCTCCCCATCATGAGGCTCCATATAATTTTGAAACTTTAAACACATATGTCTTGCAATAGCAAAAACTGCACTTATGCGCCTTGTTCTCCTAGCCCCTCAATTTAAATTTGCAGCTAAAACTGGGCAAACGTTTCGAGGATATTTTCGGGATTCGAGACATTTTATATCTCACTTTTATATCTTAAAGCATGATATATAGCCTTCCAATGGAACCAACGTATTTTATGGAGAAAAAAAGAAGAAAAAAATTACCTCAAAATGGACGCGCTCCTTGAAGTCAATCCAAAAGAAACACAGATCCGCGTCAGTGAGTTCGCCGTAGTCAGAAAACCCGATACCGAACCATCCCTTCTCGCTGAGGGGCGTTCTGACTGCTAGAAACACCTTCTGCTGGGGATAGTTGAGGGCCCAACGGAGGGTGGCGTTGGAGGACCCATCTAAAGGAACCTGGAAGGTTTTGGTTTTGCCGTGAGTGTAGGGGTGGGTTTGTTGGTTGGCATGGACGTGAGGATGAAAGTGGGCGAGGGAGCGTGTTGCGTAGAGCAGGAGGATGAAAAGGGACTGGAGCATCGCGAAAGGGACGACCAGCGAAGGAGCTCCGCGGACTCGACTGCCAAGACGGGACTCCCGGGTCCCTCCAGCCAAGGAGCTATCTCACGCCTCACCCCATCAGAATTTCCCGTAATCCCTAATAATCAAGTTTTCCACCGGTGGAACTAGGGCTGTTTTTACCGTCAAATTTAGAGAAATCAGATTTCAAACGTCACTATTTATTTATTTATTTATATACATTAGTGTACATAAATGAAACAAACATAATATCCCAGTATACTTGTCAGTGAAAACCCCCCAAAATTGACTTTTTAAACATCATTACAAAAATCACATAGAGAGTAAAATGCCGTACAAACTAATAAATTCGTATTTTATCAAAGGAAATTTAGCAACGCCTGAAGGCTCAAACGACGTTTTTCCTTAGCATAGCAGTGTAGCTTTAGGGTCCAGCCCTACTCTGCCTGTAGTTGACGGAATTTTACCTGAAGAATTAGGACTCAGCGCTATGTTGTTACTTCCGTCTAAGTAGTTTACTAATTTCTCATCGAAAAAATAAAATAGGAGCGGAGCTTTTGAAACACCGCAATGGAGATATGTGATTTCGCTCTTCAGCTATCGATATGGTAAACCCGGTCCTGTCTCAACTCCGCCCCCGCCGTGAGGCAAATTTTTCCCTGTCGTGCGCTGTGTTTTAATTTACTTCCAATTAAATTGTGCGTCTCACAATCAGTTGAATCCCTCCCGCCTTGGCGTGGCGCTACAGCGGGCTCAACTCACCCTAAAAAATTCAAGATCGTGAAAGTTGAATAAAACGTCCCCGTTACTGCGTGGTGAGGGGTCGACATGTAGGGAAGTTTAATAATGTCGGAAGCCGAANGGGGGGGGGGGGGGGCGCTGGGACGTTGCTCAAGTTCCAGGATGACATTCCTGCGACACCCGGGAGCCATCGGAATGCGCGGCACCTCGCTTCTTGCTTTGCCAGATGCGTCAGGATATCCCGGATTTTCAGATCCATTCCATGCGAGCATTACTGCCGTGCTAAGGAAAAACGCCGTATGAGCCTTCAGGCGTTGCCAAATTGCCTCGGGAAAATCACTAATTTTCAGGAAAATTTTTGAATATTTTCCCGCCGATTTCTCAGATAATTTTGTTTGTGATTTGATCTAAAGTGTCTGAAAATTTCGAGGAAAAATATTCACAATTTTCCTCAAAAATAAACATTTTATCCAAGGAAATTCGGCAACTCTCGAATGTTCATACGGCGTTCTTCCTTAGCACGGCAGATTAGAGCTGTAGTCATCGGATGGGCCAACGCTGCTACTAAAGCCCCCGCCATTTCCCGTTATTAAAACCAATCAGCAATGACTTAATGTGCGGCCCTAGGAGTGATCGTGGTTCCATTGAGCGGTCTCTTTTAATCCTTGAAGTGGTGGCGGATGGTTTGCCACAACGTGGTATAAAACCATATCGCTTCTTTTTAAAGTTATAGGATGAAACTTTATCAGAGCACATAATAGCCTGTTCCAGACGCTCAAACTGGAGGTTCAGACTGGGGGCGTCGATGCGGGTGTTGATTGTTGAACATTTACAAGAACACTAAAAAACGGCAACATTTTCAAATTTGTGACAAAACGGTACCCAGAAACTTTACCCAATTTTTTTCACCTGATACCTAGTTTGGCCAAATCCAAGTTAAATATTGTATGAATGCAAGGAAATAGTGAAGGGCATAAAAACAAAACAAAAATTCACTTTAGTTAATACTTAGCTGTAATCATAACATTAGAATTATTGTAATTAATAGCTCTGTAAGGGGCTAGTTGTGCAATTTTTAACCAATAAAAAAAAAAAGTTAAACATTGGCTGTGTTGCTCACGCAGCCCTCAAAGCACTGCTACACACAAGACAAGCGAAGCCAACACAACATGTAAAATGAAAAAAGAAAGGGCTCGCTTCGATGTCCGTGTTGTGTCTGAGAAATTGAAGGCGCGATGCGTGAACTCGCAATGCTCCGCTCTATGCTGTCAGTGATGTGTCGCTTACACTCGGGAGAGAAGGTAAAAAACAAGGCCCGATTACATCTCTCCTATCTTCGGCTACTTTGCTAACGTAGCCCTTAAAGCACCACTACAAGTAAGGAAAACGGAACCAACGCCATATGAAGTCGGAACGAGGGAAAGAACTCGCGTTGATGACGGCGCAGGGATACAACTATTCGTGCTTGATGGATGTCCGTGTTGTATCTGCAAAATTGAGGGCGCGATGGCGCGAGGTGTGAGTTTGCGATGCTCTGTTCTATATGCTTCGCATGCTGATTGGGGAGAAAAGTTTTAAAAAAATGGACCCAGAAGCGTCTCTCCTATTTTCGGCTGTGTTGATATTTGATATTTTTTCAATTTGATGTCTTATTATTTTTTAAGATGTAATTGTGACCTACGTCTAAAGTTCGGAGGTACCGGCTCCATAAAACCGGCGGAGCACATTCTTTCAGCGATCCTTGGGTCAGTTTGACTTGGCTTTGGGATCTAAGAGTTAAATTGCATTATTTGGCGGGATCTCAGCACCTTTATCATTGCTCGTAACTGGACTAACAATAAGTAAACTGTTAGTTCAATAAACATTGCACAAAAAACTATCGGACAAACTTTATGAATGGACCATAAAAACTTTGGCCCAAACAAAATTGGGTAAAGTATGGCCACCGAAAAACAAAAATGAGGGAGCGCCGTGCTGCCGTGCCAAGGAAAAACGCCGTATGAACATTCGAGAGTTGCCAAATGTCCTTCGATAAAAAGTTCATTTTTGAGGATAGTTATGAATATTTTTCCTTCATATTTTCAGAATCTTTAGGTAAAATTGCGAACTGAATTATTTGAAAAATTGGGAGGAAAATATTCATAAATGTACCAGGAGATTTGCGTTTTATCAAAGGAAATTTGGCAACGCCAATTTTACCCACAGCTCTTAGAAATTTTTCGGAAAAATATTCATAACTTTCCTCAAAAATAAACATTTTATCAAAGGAAATTTTGCAACTCTTGAATGTTCATACGGCGTTTTTCCTTAACACGGCGGTAGAGCACATCCCATTGCTCCCACTCCTCTGTAGTTCCGTTCAGCAGAGATACGTCCAAGTGGACCGCGTCAAGCAGAAAGGAACCAAGCCACATCAGCTATTGCCAAATTTAATTGGGCAATTTAATATTTTACATGAAAACGGTTGTTCGTATTTTTGTTCAAATTTCAGTGGATTTTCTCCCTAGTACGAGGCAAATTCCTCAAAAATTTCAAAGGAACCCACACAAAAGTCTCTCGTTACAAATTAGATTACCCGGTCAAATTTGGCAATAGCTGTTGTGGCTTGGTTCCTTTCTGTTTAACGCGGTCCAAGTGCTACATTGTTTTGAAGCATAACATGCGAGCACGGAGGGATCTAAGGAGTTGTTAGAATCGAATGTCAGGCCGGGGCACTGACATGACACTGACGAGCAGACAAACACGGGGGTCGGANGGGGGGGGGGGGGGGGGGGGGGGGACCGAAGATTCACGGTTTCGCAGCATCGGCAATCAATACGTCGCAAATGGGATCCCGATCTTCTCGCGGGCCGCGGCATGGTCGGCTGCAATTGGACAAGAGCCCTAAAAATAAATGTTTTGGCGAGATCGCCATGCTGATCTGTCAGTCAATTAGGGATAGATGCTCTCTAAATAAGTTTCTTTCTTAACGAGACCCTCCGGGCCTGCAGTGCGCTCAGTTTCCGAGTCAACTGTGAACCAAGCGTGTCGACCTGTGTCCCTTCGTCGAGCTATGGGGTAAAGCCCCCCCGTCCACTTAACCATACTGTGATTCGTTCGGCTACTGATTCCTGCATCATTTTTTAAATTATATTCTTCAGTCAAGACACAGACGATTGCTAGCAGGAGTAACTTTGGCTGTCGCTTTCCATGTAGTTAATTTAGAAACTGGCCTGATCATCAGACACCGGAGAGTCAAGGTATGTCAAGATACTAACCAGCTATCCCTTCGCCGAGTTATGGGGTAAAGCCCCCCCCCCTCCCTCCGTCTACGTAACCATACTGTGATTCGTTCGGCTACTGATTCCTGCATCATTTTTTAAATAATATCCTTCAGTCAAGACACAAACGATTGCTGGCAAGAGTAACTTTGGTTGTCACTTTCCATGTGGTTAATTTTGAAACTGGCCTGATCATCAGACATCCGAGAGTCAAGGTATGTCAAGAAACCAAGTGATTGCCGTTCCCTGCAACGCTGCCGTGCTAAGGAAAAACGCCGTATACAAGTGTCTTTAATACAAGTCAAATTTACCGGGAAAATTTTGTTGGCAATTCAATGTAAAATATCTGAAAATTCAAGGAAAACTACGCAAGACTTTCTTCACAAACACATGTTTTATTCGAGGAAGTTTTGCAGCTCTCGAATGTTCATACGGCGTTCTTCTTTAGCATGGCAGAAGCACCGGAAGGAAGAGGAGGTGCTGCTATGCTGCCGTGCTGAAGAAGAACGCCGTATGAGCCTTCAGCCTTTGCCAAGTTTTCTCCGATAAAAACCGAATTTACTGGGAAAATTTCGGATGTTATTTCCCTAAATTGTCAGACGATTTTGTACGCAATTTAATATAAAGTATCTGAAAATTTCAAGGAAAAGTATGCCTGAATGTTCTCAAAAATATATATTTTATTGAGGGAAATTTGGCAACTTTCGAAGATTCATACGGCGTTTTTCCTTAGCACGGCAGTATGCATAAATGCTAAAATAAAAAAAAATATTGAATTCTCGCGTAAAATTTAATGTAATAAAAGTGTTTTTTCTAATTCCTGATTTTACGCATACTTTATGTTTTAGCAAAGTGTTCGCACATATTACCGTATTTGTGCTAAAAGGACCTATGTGCGTTAGGATTGCGTGCGACATAGTTCCTTTCAGTATAAACACGTCCATATGTGCTACTACATCGTGCAAAGTGTATAAGAACTCCATCAAACGCCTGAAAGTGAAGGAGCTTTGAGGGTTCAGATAAGATAGCTGGTAGAGAGGTATTTTGCGAGTGAAAAGAGAAAAATCTGGCTACTCGAGAATGATGAATACTGCCGTGCTAAGGAAAAACGCCGTATGAACCTTTGAGATTTGCCAAATTTCCCTCGATTAAACATGTATTTTAGACGACATTCATGCATATTTTGCCCTGAAATTTTCAGACATTTTAGATTAAATTGCGTACAAAATTGTCTGAAAATTTTGGAAAATAATATTGGTAATTTTCCCAGTAAATTCGGTTTTTATCGGAGGAAACTGGGCAACGCTTGAGGGCTCATACGGCGTTTTTCCTCAACACGGCAGAATAAATGTAGAATTATGTCTTTGTTATCCAAATTTATCATTCGATACTTTTCAATATTTTATGACCACAATAACACTGATAATTTTTCTTTACTGTGATAATGTTTATGTTTCCTGCGGACGTATGTGACTTCCATGCTGGGAAACAGGTTAGAGACAGCATCGACTTACTTTCTTATTTCACTGAAATCCTTTTTCTCGACTTTCATTCTCATCTCAATGGCAGCGAATAATGTTCTACGTGCTGGGGACACACTCGTGAACAGACACAGATGGATTTAAATTGTAAACTTTTTCACGTGTATTTAACTGTTAACAGATGCATACGTATTTTTCATCGTAACTTTGTCAAAAAAGGAAGATGAAGATAAAATAATTTCTTGAATCGTACCGAAAACAGGCACGAAGACCATCTTCAAGAGCTCCTACTTTCTGTGCGATAACTATTCGGCCACTTCCGATGTAAGGTTGCATACTCATCGTTTTGAAGGCACTTTTGAGCGCCGTCAGAAATAAATTATTTCCAGGGAATTAACGCGAGCGTTCCCCTGCTCATCGTCGGATGAGGTTAATTTACTATTTTTGTTTGTCATATAACGATGGCGAAATGACCAAACTATGGATATCAATTCCGCTGCTTGAAAATTTTCGCTTATATTTCATTTTTGGAAGAGAATACCATTCGTTCTTTTCGTGTGAAATTTTCAGAGAATGGTGTTAAAAAACACACACAAAAAATCAGTTAAGATCAGAACAGAATTTTGTGTCAAAACGATGATTGGGTCCTCCTTAAAATTATGAAATACGGTACGGGGCTCGTAACGTCGCATCCTATTAGCAACCATTGCAGGACGCCCTGCAGGTTTAAAAAAGTTTTATGCCCCATCAAGCTTATCTCAACAAACAAGACCCTCTCTGAGGTATCGGCTTTTTTCGCCGACATTAAAGCTTTGCAATATCTGTCACGTATTCAAAGTGTTGTAAGAGCTACTCAGGAAAAAACTTTCTCCAAAATTCACTGGTATTTATATTTCAGAGAGGGAACTATCGGGTGAATTTTCTGAAATTTTTCGGTTTCAGCATTATAAATTCATAAAGAAAATTCAGTAAAAGTTGCAATGAATTCCTTACATTTACTCCAATTATAATTGATGAAACAGTCAGGGGAGATTCTGAGACATTGCAACCAAGAAATGCCCTTTCTGCACCCAGCGCTTCAAATGCTCATACGGTGTTTTTCCTTAACACAGTACTGCCGTACTAAGGAAAAACACCGTATGAACCTTCAGGCGTTGCCGAATTTCCTAGTAAACTTATGAATATTTTCCTTCCAATTTTTCAGATAATTTTGTTCGCAATGTCAACTGAAGCCCCTGAAAATTTCAAGGAAAGATATTCATATCTTTTTTCAAAAAATAAACATTTATTGAAAGAAATTTGGCAACTCTCGAATGTTCATACGGCGTCCTTCCTCAGCACGGCATAGTGGGTAGTGATGCGTGGCCAGGCATACATTTACGCACGTTTACAAACGTTCGCACTATGTAGGTAAAGTGGGGCTCACATGACCCAGCGTAGAAAGTTTCGGATCCTCTTTTGTAAATCAATTACCTGACTTATTTTCGGGTCATCGATGGGTTAAACTGAAAGAGGCGATGAGGGTCCCTGTTTGTCGCGACTTGAATAAGAACGGTTCATTACCACCCGGCGCACAGTGGATCGAGTCAACCGGAGAGGTTGGACATGAAATTAACTGAAACTGCAAATTTTAATGATTAGTTCGTCAAATTTTAAAATTTAAGGGGTATATTAAGAAGAAAATTTTACGAGGAAACCAATGGAGCCACTTTTAAAGCCTCAAAGTTTTGTATGAACGGAGTTATGAGTTTTTAAAGTTTCCAAATTTTGTCCAACCTCCCCCATTGACTCGATCCATTGTGCGGCGTTACAGGACAGTAGAGCTCAAATTTTTCTCGCGGCTCTCGCTGCCGTGTTGAGGAAGAACGCCGTGCGAACATTCGATTGTTGCCAAATTTCCTTCGCTAAAATGTTTGTTTTTGAGAAAGGTTATGAATATTTTTCCCTGAAATTTTCAGACACTATAGATCAAATTACGAAGAACATTATCTGAGAAATTGGCGGAAAAATATTCAAAAATTTTCCTGAGACTTAGTGATTTGCCCGAGGAAATTTGGCAACGCCTGAAGGGTCATACGGCGTTTTTCTTTAGCACGGCAGCTCGGACGCATGCTAATCCACGTCTCCATAAACTCCATATGATGAGTAGCAGTGACGGGCCGTGCTTCGCGATGAATCGATCGATTTGCCGTTTAAATCTATTAAAAAGTATCGATTATCAAGGTGTTCACAAATAACGCCTTAAAATGATCGATCCTTTACCATGTTTTTAAATGAGAACATATCGATAGTCGATAATCGACGGTTCGATATGATGAGTAGGTCGCGAGCGCGCAGCACGTCGCTTTTACTTTCTTCTCTCGCGCTCTGGTCGAGCTTCTTGCTTCTTTCAATATTTTTAATTGGGTAGCAGTGGCGTAGCGTGCTTTGCGATAAATCGATATATCTGTCTTTTAAACCTATGAAGAAGGATCGATAAATAGGGTGTTCGCGACAAACACCTTAATGATCGATCTTTTACCATAGTTTCAAATGAGGAAATATCGATAATCGAGCATTCACGCTCCGCCACTGTTGGATAGCGTTAAGCGAACAATTCATTCGTACCGACCCACCCGGCAACTGCCAAAGATAATGTTTTAAAATTGTTGCAAAAATGTTGCCGTAATGTTAATTTTAGCAGTAACTTTGTTATAAGGTTTCCGCGACTACGTTTCGCCGAGCGAGCGAGTTTAATGGAAACGCACCAAAGTGCTTTCAAAAAAAAAAAAAAATTAATATAATAAAATACCGTAAAAGCATAAGATTTTGCGCGATGGGTAAGGCTCTGAACACAACAAGAACTATTCAAGATATATGATTTCCACAAAAATGAGACGCATTTAACCAAAATCGGTGTAACTACATCAAACGTTGCCTAATTTTCTCTAACGTTATATTTTTTAAATGGGAATTTAAACAGCACTGAAACTTGAGATTTTGCGAGCATATTTATCATAATCTAGAGTAAATTCACGCAAATTTTAAAGGCGTCACGTACTTAAGTTCTCTGTTGCAAAAATAAAAAAAACAGAGGAGACCACCCAAGTAGCACAGTGCAACGAAAAACAAACTGAACTCCATTTGTCAGAAAGACAGGCAATGTGCAATGCAATGAAAAATTGCAAGTTATTTAAATTTTATTGCAATAAGTTTCAATGAATGGGCCCCTTCAAACAGGAGCTAGGCAACATGCACAACACTCAGTGGAATCGCAATATTTTAGGGGTGTAATTGCTACTTATTGAAATCTGGGCTACTTGAGCATCAGGCAACGTGGAGTGGAGTTAGGCTGATTCGGGCTAATCCGTGGAATTCTAAAATAACCTGAGGACCGCCGCGTAGGAACAGATACGGCCGAGAGTGCTAATTTTAAATATTCCCACTCCACGCAATTTCACGGCGGCATAGGTGCCGCGGAAGGGAGAACAAATTTCGTGTTGATATCGCTCCCACCGCGTATCGTTTCCATCTAAGTGTCCGAATCTGCATGATTTTAAACCGATTCCGTTCTAACTCGATCTGTCCTTCCGTTATTCCGTCCATTTCTTTTTTTATTTTTTTTTTGGCGTCTAACTCAGTGCGTGATTTACGAGCGAGACCTACCCACGTGAAACCATCGATCGAAACTTTGAATAGTTTACCTACTTACCTACCGTATCCAGCATATTGGACATAGTTTCCTGTTCTCGTCGATCACCGTCTCAGCGAGGGACCTGAAGGATTCACTGGCTAATCCTGGCTGATCAGCTTCGATTTAAATGCATAATTCGTGTGATTTAACATCGTGTGAAAGAACCGATAAAGTCGGCCACGAGTAGAATTTTTCAATCTAAATTGGAATCTTTGAATTTTGAAATTACGCGTGTTGCAACCGTGTAACTGTGCCAGTGAATTTACTCAATTGTTGGAGTTGCTTATTCTAGAGCGACAAAGGATCCATAAATTTTCGAGTTATTTCAGCGATCATTGGCCTCGACTCAGCGATTCTTCCTTGCATTTTGAATCTACCGTATGGTGCGCGGTATACTGGAAAAATTTCCCTTAAACTAGCCGTCAATGTGCTTTCAGTGTATGTTGTTCAGTCCTCATCGTCATGCAGTGGAAAGTCACTTAAATCTTGTAAACGGAAATTATGATCGGCAGACAACTCGCGTTGACACGGAAATCCCTTTCTTCTCTTAGAGAGACCTAAACTATAACAGAAATTTTTTCAAGGTGTCGTTGCGTTGGTTTTTCGGCGATCAAATGAGAAATCCAGTCCGGCGTAATCATGCATGTGACAGACATGCATGTTGCAATGCTCTCTTTTTCTAAGTGATAAAATGAGAAAAAAGTGTTTTGAGAAAATACTGTGAATCTAAGTAACTCGGCTATTTTCAAAAAATAACCATGGAAATGCGTAAAAGTATCAGTAGACTTAAGTGCGCATGCAGTTTAAAAAATCGTGGTCTTCTCAGGGGTACTAGCGTATTTACGACTATACTCAGGAACTTTTCAATGAAGTAACGAGTGAGGAATTTCGTCTGTATCGGCTACTATTGCCGATTTTCCGTATTTACGACTATAATCAGGAACTTTTCAATGAAGTAGCGAGTGAAGAATTTTGTCTGTATCGGCTACTATTGCCGATTTACGACTATAATCAGGAACTTTTCAATGAAGTAGCGAGTGAGAAATTCCGTCTGTATCGGGTACTATTGCCGATTTTCCGTATTTACGACTATACTCAGGAACTTTTCAATGAAGTGGCGAGTGAAGAATTTCGTCTTTATCGGCTATCATTGCCGATTTTCCGTATTTACGACTATAATCAGGAACTTTTCAATAAAGTAACGAGTGGAGAATTTTGTCTGTATCGGCTACTACTGCCGATTTACGACTATGATCAGGAACTTTTCAATGAAGTAGCAAGTGAAACATTTCGTCTGTATCGGCTACTATTGCCGATTTACGACTATGATGAGGAACTTTTCAATGCAGTAGCGAGAGAGGAATTTCCTCTTTATCGGCTACTGTTGCCGATCTTGAGTAGGCATTGTGTGTACAATTTGTAAAAAATGAATATATTATTTCGGAAAAATTTCCGCACAGAGGCGAGCAAGGAGCCGAAGTACGGGAAAGTCGGGGGCGGCGTAGGAGGTTGCGGTGGCGCGGGTCGGCGACGAGGGGTCTCGGCGGGGGCCGGGGGGGTGCATGGGAACCGGAAGAGGGACAGCGGGTACACGATGATGGAGTCGCACTCGTACCGCACGCACATCTTCCTCAGCCCCATCACCGGACCGCAAGATGCCGAGGAGGACCCAGCCGCCGTCCGATCTTCGTCCTCGTCGTATGCCTTCCTCAGCTGGAGTAACATGAAGCGCAAGCCCTCCCTCCCCGGCCGCACCGAGCCCGCCCCCCTCTTGCCCCCCTCCAACTACCCCAGCAGACAAGTGAGTATCTTTTTTGCAACGATGTACAAACTCTAGATTCGTCGTACTTTTTTCGGAGGCAACACTCGCAACGACAAGCAACAATCGTATTTTGTTCGAAGTTGTTTTGTGCTGGGGGGCGGGGCTTATTTTCACGGGGAAAATTTGGGAATCCCGACAGCAAACCATAGAGTAAATAGAGTCGTAATGTAAATGGGAGAGCTGGCGCCATGCTCTGCTGGACGAGTTCCGAGCCCGATGTGGGCCGAGTTCGGGTCACTTTTTCGATACATGTTCGATCCAAAATGGCGGTGTGGAATACGTGGTGATTCCTATCTTCTTTGTTTACATCGGATGGCCGGGTGCCCATGCATCGCAAACAATCGATTATGTATCGAAAAAGTGACCCGGCGTCACACAGGAGTCTCGGAAATCGAGACCTGGAAAATGCTCAAAAGTGGCGCCAACTCACCCACATTACAACTCTATGTGCTCTATGCGTTTTTCGGAGGTAACACTCGCAACAACAAGCAACACTCGTATTTTGTTCGAAGCTGTTTCGTGCCGTGGGGGCGGGGCTTATTTTCGCGCGCAAAATTTGGGAACCCCTACAGCAAACCCGGTCCATTATATGCTTTTTGTAGGTGTTTCTCAGTGTCCATGGACCTAACTTCCAGCATCGAAGAAGATTTAAATGACTCAGAAAGGGGTTTGGAGGGAGTTCCCAAGATCCAAATGGGGATCCGAGGACCCCCCCCCCCCCACACCAAATTGACCTGGAGAGCATTTTTGAACTAGCCTATCAGCGAAAACTTGACTGAAATTCAATTGCGAAGATGAAAGATAAGTCACACGTATATTTAGCAAAATCCCTCACATTTTCTATAGGCAGCCATTTAGATATCTCTGAAGGGGGTTAGGCTCGCCGGCTCTCCCTCAGTTCCGCCGACGCTAATATTCTTGGTATCTGAATTGAATTTCATGCAAAGAACCAACAATCTAGAAACTATGGATAGAGTGATCCTGTACACTACGCCAATAATTCGTAACACACCCGGAGCAATAATTGAACCTTAACGTTATTTGAGGGAGGCGTCGGTAAACTTCTGATTAATTTTCAAGATTACAGAGCTCTTCTTCCTCTTTCCGCGCCGAAAAGAGACTGTATAACCCCTGATAAAAAGAAAGAAAGAAGAAGAAAAAAAAAACCAACAACAACAACAACAACTCAAAAGAGGCCTTCAGACGCTTAAAGAGACTTTTTTTTTTTTACAAAATTGCCAAATGTAGCCCCCATATTTTTCCAGATGAGGCCGTGCGAGGCTATTTTGGCCGGAACTCAGTGGGCGATCACCTCTAGCTCCCCGGGTCTGCTATGTGTCGATCAAGGTCAATCGATAAGCAAATTCAGGTCGAATTAATTGATGTTTAATATTCGGCTTGCAAAAATTTTTATGACTTACAACTGTACCGCAGCTCAGTAGCGATATTAAACCTGGACTCGAGTTGAATATTACCTAATTATTATTGGTGACATAAAATCGCCAGAGATGACAACTTCATACGCTGTCAGAGGTCGAGAATCCGTGATCCTCCAACAGATGGCACTGATGAGAGAGTGCACTCCACTGACGTATTTTTCATACAAAATTATATTACGAGGGGCCGGGGACCCGCGACAGGAAGTGGAGACCATGACCTCATGCATATCCGGTCACGGCTGGCCGGAATCAAAACAAAGAATTACACACGAGTGGAAACGACTATGCTCTTGAAACCCGGTGGAAATTGTCGGCCGGTCATTGCTTTGTGCGATTAAGAACGTCAGCTAGGAATAATCTAACTTTTTTGGCGTTTTCTACTTGATACTTGCTATCGCAACTTGAGTGGTTTCAGAAAAAAATGAAATGTTTTAAAATTTTAATTTATTCGTTTGTTCGACCAGGCGGGGGTTGGGGGGGGGGGGGGGGGGGGGTTACTCCTCCAGAAGCTATAAATGATTTTGCGAAATGACCGCGTGATATTCCTGTCATCTTTGAAATTGTACTTGAATCAATACCTCCGTAAAAATAGCAGTAAATTGTTCCAGAATCATATGAATTCCGTAAATTTTATTGCGGAGGCCTTCCAAGTCCCACTCATCGGAGCTGGGAGCCACCCCTCTTTGGTGAAAAACCCTTCTATGCCCCAACAAAAAATTCCTAGTTCCGCCCGTGGCTCCACCTCGCAACACAGATCCGTTTTTTCTTACTTTTACCGAACATTGAAATTGGGAAGTGTTCAATTGAATTTTTTCATGATTGAACCAAGGGGCCTACCGAAAAATGTTGACCGACCGTTAAGTCGTGGAGGTGAGAGTCCTCTGTTAATTTCTCAGCTTGACCGGGTAGATCATTCTACACTGAAGATGGACAACTGTAAACAGAGCGTGAACGGTAACCGTAGCGTAGTGAAGGCAGTGCAGTGGCCTTAGCTACTTGTCTGAGATGTCTGGATTGCGGATTGTCGTGAGGAAAGGGTAGGGATTTCGAGGAGGATTAGGAGCGGAATGAAGAGGGGGTCCAACGATGGAGATGCTTCAAGAGGCATTCAACCTTGTTAACATAGTATAGAGGAAATTATTTTTTGGCAATATATCAGGGCTCATATTGCGTCACTGCCTCGGTGGCATTGTCTCTGAATACTTGAATTCTATCGACTCGAATGCAACAAATACATAGGGTGTCCCAAAAGTACTGCCCCTTTTTCCGCAGAGGGCGAAAGAATGCAGATATCAAAATGCGGTTTGTGTGAGGTTATAGTCCTAGTAATTACCTATAAAACAAGACCAAGTTGAGCTCTGTAGCTTAAAATTTGACCGAGATACAGAATTTTGAAAGTGACGTGTCAAGGTGCCGCCTACGAGATTTTCAACAGTTTTTTACGGACGAACCCTAGGACGAACAGACACGATGCATCTGCAGGTTGTCCTTTAAGATCCGATGCAATGAAGTTTTTGAGATGTCAAGCAACACCTGAAACTTACGCAAGGATAAATGACGGTCTCCTCGAACAACAGCAGCAACGGTACCGATTAATTCGTCTGTGGTGGAGGTAGACGGTCGGCCCGGTTTCGCGGGACTTTCCGTCGATTCGCGGCCGCCAGAAAAAGATTTAAACCAACGACCAATGCTACTTCTGTCCAAACAGTCGTCTTTATACACGCCTTTCATTTCATTAAAAGTGTTTTTTACTGACATTCCTCGACGAAAACAATAACGAATAACGTGGTGTTGTTCTTTTCTTAATTCGGTACTCATCGCGAAAGAAACTTCCAAAACGACAGAGGGATGAACTCAGATTGACGTGCCGGGAAAGCTTGACCAACTTGGATGGCACTAGCGGACACTTTCAATCCTGTCGTTGGTCTGCATAGGGGCGCTTACACGTTGCCAAATGCCGCCTAAAACACAGTGTTGCCATATGTTTTTGGCCGCTTCTTCTTCTTTTTAAAACCGTTTCATTCTTAAACTTGGTTTTTTCTTTCGTAAAAAATGTTGAAAATCTCGTAGGCGGCACCTTGACACGTCACTTTCAAAATGCTGTATCTCGGTCAAATTTTAAGCTACAGAGCTCAACTTGGTCTTGTTTTATAGGTAATTACTAGGACTGTAACCTCACACAAACCGCATTTTGATATCTGCATTCTTTCGCCCTCTGCGGAAAAAGGGGCAGTACTTTTGGGACACCCTATGTAATTCCACTTCTCTGTCATTTGTATTCTGAGTGGAAAGCGCGTAATGGAGATGTTGCATGTGTGAGGGATTTGCGATTTGACTGTTGTTTCTTGTGTAAAATTGCGCGAGAAACACGATGGTGCCACTGATTTTCTCTGAAATCATCTCCCAAGCTCAAAAAAAGCTCTCAAAGTGAGGTCAAAATGGAGGGGATATCCCACCCTACCCTGAGAGTCCACCTCTACATCAAAACAAACTCTCCATGCAAAGATAGGGAGCAAATACATTAGCAGGGTTGCCGTGTTTTCAGTTTTGGAGTCCCCAAATAAAGTGGCAACCCTGCTAATGGAGAGTTTGTTTTGATGTAGAGGTGGACTCTCAGGGTAGGGTGGGATATCCCCTCCATTTTGACCTCACTTTGGGAGCTATTTTTGAGCTTGGGAGATGATTTCAGAGAAAATCAGTGGCACCATTGTGTTTCTCGCGAACTTTTACATAATAATTAATGGTCAAATCGCAAATTCCTCACACATGCAACATCTCCATTCCATTCTTATCGAATTTTCCAGGTAGCGCAGAAATTTATTATTTTATTTGTAGTGTAAGCCATATTTTCTTATCATAAAGAGGGATATATTTAAATATCCTTATGTACAAATGAAATTGAAATTTTCAGATAATTTAGATACGATTGCGAAGACAAATTCTCTGAGAAATTGGAGGAAAAATACTGACAGCTTTTTCTGAAAATTTGTATTTTATCGCAGGAAATCTGGCAATGCCTGAAGGCTCATACAGCGTCCTTCCTTCTCACGATAGCATAGATAAATAAAATATGATGCATGAAAATGATTTTTTAAGCACGAAACTTGAAGCATAATGCATGAAAAAATAATTTTATTCCGCTCCATTTGATAAATATTTGCCTCTTCAACTGGAGTAGATTAAGGAAAGTACTGTTTCCGCAGGGTCTTATTGTTAAAATTTAACCTGGAAAATGCATGATATTTTGCTGAAGACGCTAATCTACAATATTTCAAATTCTGATTGTGAGTTTTTATCCAATTTTCAGGTTAGTTTCTCCGGTTCAGGACGGCCGGGTATATTCAAGCCTGGACAACAGTTGGCTCTTCAGCAAGTCCCCCGGGCAGAGCCAACCAACCTCGCAGGCATTGATAGAGACTGTTTCATCATTCCAGTAGCTAGCATAGATCGCTTTCTACCAGATGGAGTCCCCGTAAGTTATTTAGCCTTCCCCAATTAAAAATACGCTAATCACTATTTCGCCTTCAATTTTTTACGTAGGCCAAAAGCCATTCTCCGAGTAGCAATCAAGGGTTTGTCTTTCGTCCTGCGGGCCGATTATTGAAACTGATAGACAAAGCTATAGACAAAGACGACAAAAGAGATTTGGAGGGATCCTATTGGTGGAAGCGGGTGGTAGCAATGGACAGAGGGGGTAAGTAATGGACTAACTAACGGCAACCCACCAAAGACCCGACAGTTAGCATACCATGTTCTTCCTCTGTCTATGAGAACCAACCATGTCAACCAATAGGATGCTCTATACTCCCTATGTCTTCTTTGTCTATCGCTTTGCCTATCAATTTCAATAATCGGCTCGCAGGTGACGTGACTACGCGCATAGGTTGAGATAGGTAAACATGTTCCAACAGGTACATTACAACAGGTACAGGTGTTCCAACATGTTCCAAACAAAAACCTAGACTTATTGGAACTTTCGAGTGCATGTTATTTGAATTTTGACAACCACGACGAGTTGCAAAATTTTCCTCAATAAAATGTTCATTTTTGATGAAAGTTATGAGTATTTTCCTTCCAATTTTTCAGATACTTTTGCTATCGAAAAGTGTTGAAAATTTCAAGGGAAAATATTCACAACTTTCATCGGAAATGAACATTTTATTAAGGGAAATTTGGCAACTCTCGAATGTTCATACGGCGTTTTTCCTTAGCACGGCAGTATAACATAGAGTACATAGAGTCGTAATGCAAGTGGGAGAGCTGGCGCCACTTTTTAGCATTTTCCAGGTCCCGAATTCCGAGATTCCTGTGCGGCGCCGGGTCCCTTTTCCGATACATAATCGATTGTTTGCGATACACGGGGACCCGGCCATATTCCACACCGCCATTTTGGATCGAATATGTATCGAAAAAGTGACCCCGCACACCGGGCTCGGAACTCGTCGAGCAGAACATGGCGCCAGCTCTCCTACTTACATTACGACTCTATGTACTCTATGCAGTATAGGTACCTACTCTCCTTAGCACGGCAGAATAAGGGAGATAGCACAGCGAGGTCTGGAAAATATATTGTCTCTGCTGGCAATGAGTCACAGAATGTAATCTCACCAATGGGGATAGAGCACAACGGACGCCTTTTACGTCATTACTCAATTACCCCGTCAATTGTCGTTGTGTGGAAGTGTGATTTTGATGAGGGCGTTACGTGAGCCGTGAGCGGATCGATGGAGTGACAGAGTGTGGTTTTGCAGTTGCCGCTGCCGCAGAGCACGTCCACGTCAACGGGGACCAACTTCAGCGTTTTGGAGGTGGACGACCCGAAACTCTGCGTCGCGATCCACCTCATGTCCAGACTGGAGCCCATCGAACCGCTCCTCGAGTCGCCCCTGGCCATGCCGCTCGCCACCCAGCAGATGACCGCCAGGGACCTCCTCGGAGAGATCGCCGCCACCAAGAGCGCCGCCGAGGGCATCCTCCTCGGAAACATTGAAAAAGATGGTACGTCCACATTTCTTTTTAACGTTTTTCACAAGTTCCCGAGCTTTTGGAAAGTTTATGAAAACCTGGAAAAGCCAAGGAGAAGTAACCAAAAAGAAGGGAAGGAAATCTGGAAAAACCAAGGAAAGACCGAGGAAAACTGGAAAAAGCTAGAAACAACCAGAACAAGTCAAGAAAAACCTGCATGGAAATCTCAATTGGTAGAATTTACGATTCCTTCACGTTGTATTTTACACAGCGTGAATTCAAAGTCGATTCTGCCTCAGGAATGGTTACCTGTAACAGTATATAGTAACGTTTACCTTTCTTCCGGCAAAATTGACTCTGAATTGACGCTGTGTGAAATACAACGTGAAGGAATGGTAAATTCCACCAATCTTTCTTTTAGGTAAACTCTGAAAAGGCCAGGGAAAACCTGGAAATGTCAGAAGAAATAAGAAAAATAAAGGAGAAACTGGGAGCACCAGAGAAAATTTAAAAATCATAGGATAAAAAAGAAATAAAGAAAAACTTTGAAAAGTCAGGGAGAACTAGAAGAATAAGAAATACCTAAATATAAAATGGTCAAAGAGGATCCGAGAAAGACCGCGGGAACTTAGAAATGCTGGGGAGTACTTGGAAAGCCAGGAAAAACCACATGTTTTTCAACGTTCAATGTTCAATTGATGAGACGTTTCGGTGACAAGGTTATGTGGCAAAATCATTTTTGTCTTGAGAGTCTCCAAAATGTATGCAACCTAGTGATCAAAATAATGTCCAACTACTCAGAAAAATGGCTCGCGGAGCGAGCCGAATGCCATAGCGAGTGATCAGGGGTCCAGGAGGCGAAGCCCCTTTGCTAGCCGTTCTCGACGCGCATACGTCCATTTAATGGTCAAATTGTTTTTTTTCCAGCGGAATTTCCGTTCATATGTTACTACGTGGTGAACAAGAACCAGACTGAACCGAAGAAGTTCTTCAACGCGCTACGACACACGTCCCTGGGGAGGTTCGACCCGCACAACCTCCGCTACACGGCGTCGCACACGTTCGAGATCTTCAACGAGGTGGCCACCATCGCCAGACCGCCCCTCGACCCTATCTCCAAGCGACCCAACTCCCCGCACACCGGCTACATCGTCACCATTTACAAGGTCTTCGAGGGGGACGACGGCGAGAAGTTCGAGAAGAATTGGCTCTACTGGACAGGTACGTCCACCAAGCAAAAGTTCTTCGATCAATTTGAAAATAATATTAGAGAATTCTTCACCTTCCGGCCATACACCGAAAAAAATGGTATGCTGTTTTGGCACTTAGGATGTCAAAAATGTGTCTGGTCATCCTAAGATGCTACCTTGATTGCCCACACAGTTGAATTTGCATTCGTAGGATGTAAAGTTAACTACGAGGGTAGTAAAGGCAGCATTTTGGAATCACCAGACACATTTTTTACATCCTAGGTGCTAAAACAGCATACTATTTTTTTCAGTGTAGTATCACAAGCGTCATGCCACGATTCAAAATTTCCGCCGCCATTTTATTTTTTTACAGAGAAATCGTTCAAGGAAGCTATCCGAAAATGTCACAAAATTTTCTAAGTGCTGCCGATAAAATTCAGTTAAATTTTCAAACAGATTCAACCAACAATTTCTCTGTGAAAAAAATCAAACGGCAGCGAAAATTTTTAAACGTCGCATTGTGCTTGTGATATTTTGGCCGGAAGATATCGATGTGTCGATTCATGAGCAACAAATCACCAATGGGACTGATTCAATCACACCAATTGGCGCTCCTCTGACACAAGGGCGTATCTCAATTTGCACTTAAGCCCTGTGCTCTGTATAACTCTATAATTTCCAAAGCTCCAGGGCCGGATACACCTACTTACCGCCCGAGGGCCGCCTGTATTTTGCCGCCCCTTCTCATTCGTTTTGAAACATCAATAAAAACCATCAAGTGAACGTGCAGCGGGGAGGGGTGCATAAAACGCGTTTACTCGTGTTGGACATATTTTTGGCGAAGCCCTGTCAATATTACTGGCAAAAGTACACGGAACTTTGCGCGAAAGTTAAGTTCCGTGAACCTATCTCTGTTCGAACAAGGTCCTCCATTCAAGAGAAATGAACGAAAAAATTATGAAAGAACAAACTGACCGCACTGTGTTTGACGCAATGCGTGAAGCATTCCTACAGACAAATGACGCTGTGCGTTTCACTCCGACCGCTTCTGGACGCACTGCGTTTGACGCAATGCGTGAAGTATTCATGCAGTCTTGTAGGCGCTATGCGCTTCACGCCGACCGCTGCTGACCGCACTGTGTTTGACGTAATGCGTGAAGTATTCATGAAGTCTTGTAGGCGCTATGCGTTTCATGCCAACCGCCGCGCCGCTCCGTTCCATGTTAAATTGCGTGTTTGGTTTCTCTCATAACTCGGCTAATTAAAGGCGTTGTCTCTTGTATCACCGAAAGACGACAAAATTAGAAATTACATACTTTTACCCTCAGCAAATGAGAGATTCCGTCGCCTTTTTTCGTTTGTAATTTATTTACTGAATCCGATTTTTTTCTCTCTTTTCTTGATACCTACATTAAAAAAATTGCAAAATTTGCCGCCCCCTAAATTTAACGCCATGGGCCGCGGCCCATATGGCCATCCCCTTAATCCGGCCCTGAAAAGCTCATGCGGAAATAGAGAAAAGCCTGTGTCACACTATCAAAATACTCCATCAAAATATCAAGGTCAGGTGTTGTGATTGGCTTATTCGATGACTTGGACCAATAATCACAGCTTTTGACCGTGACATTTTGATAGAGTATTTGGATAGTGTGACCCCGGCTATACGCCCTTACGTCAGAGAGGAGACGAACTTTGACAGTTATACTTAGATGACTAGCAAATGCTAGTTGTAAGAAGACCAAGCAAGCAGTAGGTGAGATGGATTTGAGGAAGTAACTATTCACAATTAAGGATACATCATGTTGCCTATTCCTTAGTTTGAAGGGATTTTACCCGAGCATGTGCTGGTAGCAGTGTCTGTTTGCAATCGTAATACAGAGATGCTCGAAGATCACTAGAACATCCTCAGAGCACCCATCAAGCTGTCAGTTAATTATATACATGTCGATGATGTAAAACCAAATTTCCTGTGATTCATTTTTATGCATGATGTTGGTTTGTCCTGCAGGAGCTAGAATGATATACAAGTCACTGCCAAAGTCGGTCGGTCTGAGGAGGATAGTTCTACACAAAGGTCAAAGTCCTGGCGATAAATTATACTTGCTTATCGTGGAATGTTCGCACTTGTTGGAGGACCTCTCCCCAGCTGCTGCCCTAATTCCAGCCCTAAGGGCGCGCCTTTGCGGATATACTGGCCTCTACCGTTGCATTAACACTTTTTGATTTCCTCCACGTCAATTTTTCGACTGAACCATGTGTGTTCATCAACTTCCTTCCCATACCATTCTGTGATTCTAATGGAGTTAGGCGAAAGGGCCCTAATATGAAAATAAAATAGTAAAATAAGACATAACTATATATTACCATAGGCGGTTCTACGGAGGTGCCAGTGGGTGCCGGGCACCCCCAAGCAAAAATTGAGTACGGTTATCGGAACCGTAAAATTACTGCTATTAAAGATTCTGTATTCGCTCACATTGAGAAAAAATCCCAGCGATTAATTGAAAATGTTTTAAACAGAATTAATATTGACAGCCATGTTTTACAAAGATTCTACTAAAATTTTATGGTAAGATTGTAGTTTTGATGGAAAGTTTTGTTAAAAATTTTCTACATTGAATTTATAGGTATTAAAGTAGAAAGGAAGGAGAGAAAAAGAGAAAGGAGGGTAGGCAAGGGATAAAACTTGAGGGCCGAAACTTAGGCCTCCCCTGAGCGACCGTCCCCTTCGGGGCCGGTCTCCGACATTTTCCACCTCTGGGCACCCCCAAGCATGGAGGTGTAGAACCGCCTATGTATATTACGGCTCGAAGGGGTTTCTTCTCCATCATTTGACGCATCAAGGAGCACCTGAAAATTCCGAAAATTGACCCTCTAAGAAAATTCCAAAGTTAGAGGACGATAAACCGCGAATTTGAAATAAAAAAGTGACGAGTTATTCCCTCGCTGTCGCCTGCTTTAGAGACATTCATTCCAAACATTAATGGATTCATTAATCTATAGGTTTCAAATTTTGATCTGAGGCTCTTAAGATTATTCAAAAGCGCCAAGTATCGAAAATGGAAAATGGATTTTTCAGACCTCAAATCAGTCCTTCCACTGAGACTGATCAACTTTGACTATCCGACTTGGGAGCCATTTTTCCTAACTCCATCATAATTATTTTGAGGTTTCCGGAGTTTTCACTCCTACGACTATGTAAAAAATACTTCCTTCTGTATTTTAGAGTTACTTGCATTTTGATAAAAATACATGACCTATCTCGACGAAAAAATTTGATAAAAGAAATACAATGGTTTTTATAGATATTATGGTAACTTTTGATCAATTCAATTAATTACCCGAGTTTTGAAGGATCACTTGCTATCTGCCGACGCAAAATTAATCACGTGTACCAAAACAAAACTCTCCAAATTTGTTTATATTAGGTATGCACAAAAAAATAATCGGTGCTGATGAAAGAACCCTCTGTGCAAAGGGCTCCTGTACTTTCTTTGTTATACTTACAGAACTTTTCTGTTGTGAGAACAGAATTTCGGCCGTGAACACAGAGTACTCTTTCCTCATAATGGGAACTTCTGCAGCTGTAACGAAGAACGTGTAGGACCCCTGTGAACAGAGCTATTTTTTCAGTGTAACTGCAATCCCTGGTAAAAATTGGCGATAAGAGCTGCGTTTCAAAATACCATAGGAATTCTTATAGCCGGCTAAAGGAGGCTACAGAAAAGCATATAGCTGGCTGTAGAATGCTGAGAAAATCATACGGCCGGGCTATACGGAGCGATAAAAAATTATGCAGCCGGGATGTAGTTCCTATAGCCGGGCTTTACACTTAATCGCCTGGTTGTTGCTTTTTCGCCATCGATTATAAAAGGCTATAAGAAATTGTGTAGAAATTCGTGTGATTTGGAAATCATTAAGTTTGATACGGAACCACCTTAATATTTACAAAACACACGTTATATTTTCCTTTAATACATATTTTTTTTCATCAATTGAAACGAGAATGATCCATACAGGATGTGCAAACATTTCAAAATCATGAGTTGAATAACGCTGACTCCACCAGATTAAATATTAGAGCCTAACAAAAAGCGGAGCGACGACGCACTGGCGCCTACAAACCTAACAGGGATACTTCACGCATTGCGCAACGCGTGAAGTATCCCTGTTAGGTTTGTAGGCGCCAATGCGCGTTTCGCGCTGGCTGCCCGCCTGCCGCACCGCAGCGTGCCACGGCGCTTGAAGCAACTATTTCACACCAGAGGTATTGCACAGTATCATACGAAACTGAAGGCGCACTAATATATTAGGAATGGCAGGCATCCATCAAAAGTACGTAGCTTTCCTCGCAAAATAAATCAAGATACTACGGCCCAAAAAGAAAGCAGTGGTCCAAAAACTCACTAAGTCCTAGCATCCGTAATTAGTGACGTTTAGCATACACTTTATCACCTGGCTGTTGCTTAGTCGCCATCGGCTATAAAAGGCTATAAGAAATTGTGTAGCCGGCTATAGAAGCTATCGGAAATCTTACAGCCGGCCGTACTGATTCCTCCGACAATTTTAAGAGATTATTTTCTAAACTATTTACACCTTAAATCATACTTGCAGTGCAGAGGAATAAAAACATTTCAGCTCCCTCAACAACACCATCACTTTTCCTGTGGTATCACTTAAAAGGTGAACTGAGTTAACTAGTTACTGGGAGAGGAACTTCATAAGCATTGAGACATCACTAAAATGAATTATGGTTCCTTTCTCTGAATTACTTTGTCTCATTTTACATACATTTTCAAAAATGAAAAAAATATAGCCATTTTTGCAATACATTTTAATTTTTACACAGGAAAAAGCAGTAAAGGTTCTGCCGTTTATTAAAACTTCATTTAAAAAACAAGAACGTAATACGAGGAGAAAAGAAATTTTGCATCAAGCAGGCACTATTCCTCCAAAAACTTGGTTCCTTGCTGCTAAATTCTGTTGAATTTATATACGCACGTCCAGACGTCCGCCTGGAAAATTGCCAGGCTGTTTTAATCGAAGATGTTATTTTACGATGACACGATGTCGTAAAAAGGAAAGCGGAAATTGTATAACGAACGAACGGCATTATTTAAATGTGATGACATTCCGATGAAACAAAGAGAGGAGAGAACAGAGAGAACAAATAATTGTCCCCAAATAACGGCTAGTCATGGTGAAGTCCAGAGGCGCAGGCGACTGCACTACTGCAGTGAAGTGGCTGGAACTCACGGTTGTCAAATCACAAGCGGAGATCCCCCGATAAAATTGTAATATTATCGCAAACTCAATGGCTGAATTGATCAAATTTACGATTAAAACCGCAGCAACTGCTTGGGGTCATAAAAAGGGGATGGAATTACCTATGTGACATTTATTTTTTCCTCTGCTTATCTGAAATAGAGAAAAATAAATGTGATGCAATTCAATGACACTCGTGGCGAAAATGAGAGTGATCAT